ATATACATATTTATTGTTTTTATTTGTATTTATTAAATAAAATTATTTTAAAAATAATTGCTATAAACAATATATAAATTGTTATTTTTAATTGGAATTATTTTTTGTAGTATATTGAAATAAATAAATAATTGGAATATATGACTAATAAATAAATAAATATTTTTCTATTTTTAATTTTTTTAATTTCCAAAAATTAATATTTCCGGGATAATTTTTAATAAAAATTTACTCAATATTTCAAAAAAAATATTGAGTAATATAAAATTTTTAAAATTAAATTTTAATCTTTTAATTTATAATGAAGTTGATGTTTTGTTTAATCTTTCAATTTACCTTTGGTTAACTTTATAAAATGAACTGTGATTATTTGTTAACACAAAAATTAATCCGAAAAAAAAAATAGAATGTGGGAAGGACAATTAGAGGATTAGATGTTTAAAGGATATTAAAGAATTAGACACTTAAAGGACAATTAAAATCTAGACCCGTAGAATAAGAACTCGGTCATTTGACGATGGTTACCTGACCATGATTACCTAACCATCGTTAGGTAACACGAGTAGATATAGACCAGGGCTTTTTTGACGATGTGGTTATGGTAACTATCTACCTAACTATCTACCAAGTTCTTATGCTACGGCCTCAATAAAATGCCTAGATTTAAAAGAATTTGGAAATTTTGTGTATATGGACATTAAAAGGTGTAATAAATAAGAAATTAAATCAAATAAATAAAATGATGGTAAGGATTAGAAGTAAGTTTATTTGGATGGAAAAAAGGAAAAAATATTTTTAATTTACATTTAAATTGTTAATCTTTAATGTGTGAAGAAGAAGATAAATATTTTAATTAAAAAAAATTTTAAGGAAATAAAAAAACCACTTAAAAATAGCTAAAGGGTTAAAATCAGTAAAGGGATAATTGAATAAATAAAAAAGAGGGAAGGGGGAAGGGGAATATTACTAGAAAATGAGGAGAATAAATAAATAAAAATATTTGCTAGTATGAGAATGTGAGAATAAGTATATAGTGTACTGAAAGTAGTAATTAAGTAGATATTTTTTTGAAAAAAAATATTTTAAATAATTATTGATATACTAGACATATTTCAAAAATATTTTAAAAACAAGCGTGAAAAATAGTAAAATAAAAAGATTAATTTTTGTTGTTGTTGGTCATTTCAACAGGTAAAAATAAGGTGGAAATAAACAAGGAAATAACTTTTTAATATTTTTTTAATTTAATTTTACTGTAAATTGAAAAATAAGTTTTTTCTTTTAAGCACAAAATTAATTTTAAAAAATATGTATAAAAAAATTTTTTTTGACGGAAACTTTTTAAAATTTAATTTAAAAATTTAATTCCTCTTTGTTCAAACAAAAAAAAACTTTTTTTCTTTTTGTCTGGAAAAAGGTTAAAAATTAATAAAAATTAACTATAATTTTTTTTATTTAATTAGAAAAGGGGGAAGACTTATTTGGCAATTTTTAAGAGAAAAGGAAGGGAAGGGGGTGCTTGTAATAATTAATTAATATATTTTTTTGATGTCATTTAACATTTATTGTAGCTATTTTTAATTGTCTCCCTTTTATTAAATTAAACAAAAAGAAGTTTCCAAAAAATTTTTATTTCTTCCTCATTTTGAGAGGTCTTTCTTTTTATTTTTAATCCCAAAAATAATTATTTAATTATATTTACATAAAACGGAAATCTTTTTGAATTCAAAATTTTGGACAATTTTTTTGAAGAAAATTTTTTTCAATTTTTTTTAAATAAAAAACCCTCAGCGGGTGATATATAGCAAAGAAAGGGGGGAAAGTTTAGAAAAGTCTATCTACTTAAAAAATAATAATAATGTCGTAGCATTTTACAAAAAAGGGGGGAAAGTAGTTGAAATATTCTAAAAAAGAAGAAAAAAAAGATTATTTATTATTAGCCCCTTATCCGGATTTTTGTTCTAAGGATTTCTTTTCTAAAAATGAAAATGTCAGAAAATTTAAATTGATTTTTTAAAAGAAATAAAAGTATTTAAGTAAGGTAGTCTAAAAAAGGTCATTTTATTTGATATATAAATGTTAGTAATTCATTTTGGATTTAAAAAAAATATATAATCTTTTTTTTCAAGGATTTTTTTTGCTACTTTTAATATAAAAATGCTTAAAAAAATATATTTTTGCAAATGTCAATTTCTTTTTTAAATTAATTTTGAACTAAACTATAAATATAACATTTAAAAAAAGGTTTTATTACAAAATTAATAGAGGTTACCTTATACAGGCTAATTATAACTAGATTTAAGGTGGTAATTATTGTTCCAACCTTTCGATGAAGAGGATAACTAATTGAGGCGGGGTAATTATTTGAGGGAGGATAATTAATAGAGTATGTATAAAAAGTATGTAACTGGAAAGGAATAAAAAATAAAAGGTCGAGTTTTCAAGTAAATATAGCTTAATTCCCCAAAAGGATTTTTGGTTAAAATTTATTCTAAAAATATTTTTTAGATTTTATAATTTAATTGTAAAGATAGATAAACAATTTTACCTTTCAATCAATCCCTCTCTCTCAAAAAATAATTTACCTAAACAATAGTCAAAAAATTTTCTTTAAAATTTTTATTGCGTGCACGTTACAAAATACTAATTTTTTATAATAAATAAAGGCACACATCCACTTCTTCTTCCTTCTTAACATCATCATTTCATCATCATCATTCTCCACTTGAACCTCCTCCAAAATATAAATTATTTCCCTCAAAATCGCCATACTTGTTTGTGTTTGTTTCCTCCTGTATTTCCGCCCCCGTTTCTTCCCTCCCTTTCTTACTCACCCTCCAAATTTCTCATTTTTTAAATTTCCTTCAACCCCCACCGGTGGTCCTTCCTTCTTCGTTAATCCTTCCTTTACAGGGCAACTCAATTTGTTAGTTTTCTACAAGTTAGTTTAACCAAATGAGAATCCAAACACACAATCGGTAAAAGAAAAAAAATAACTCAACTAAAATTAGTTTTCTTTGGGGAATTAAATTGAAAAGTAAAAAATAAAAAAAAACAAACAAATAAAAAAAGGAAGTTTTTAAAGTAATTCGCTTTTTTTTTAAAAAAAATACTGAATTTTGGAAATTATAAAAAGCAAAAAGAAGGTAAAAAGACAAACTATTTAGTATTTTATAAGAAAATTTTTTTCCTTCGTCTGTTCCAGCTCCGATCCCTTCCCCTAACCATAGTTAAATCTCAACTTCGGATAAATGTTATTCTTGTGCGCATCGATATTAGTAAATCAACGGAAAACCCTCGGACATAACACATTTTTTTGTTTTGTGTAAACTCTCAAAAATATTATTTAGATAATTAAAGGTTTTAAAATGGAAAATGGTGATTAAAAAAATAAAATCACGACATGAATCGCAACTTAATATGTATTCTCATTTTCTAGCTAGAAAAATGATAAAAGTCGTCTCCTAAATAAATATGTATTTTATTCCAAAATTAAGTAAAAAACTTATTTAAAATTATTAAAATAAACTAAAAAATTCCAGTGTCATTTTAATAGATAGCTTTTAATATGTTATGTATGTAAATATTAAAAATAAAATTTTAGAAAGAAAAAAATTTGAAAATTAAATTAAAAAAAAATACATAAACTTTAAAAAAAACATTCTAGACAATTCAGGCAATCGACAAGAGAACTTCTGCGTGTAAATGTTCTCTTATAAAATATTCCCCCCAAATTATAATTTTTATAAATTTTTATTGAGAGAATGAGAAATGGCACTTAAACTAAAAGTGGTTTTGAAGAGGAAGACAAAAAAATTTTCAATTTTTTGGCCAAAAATGATTGACCTAATAATTCCTTTTTTTAATTTTGATTTGTATAATCCTCAACTAGAAAAATAAAAAGTGAAAGAAGGAAAAGAAAATTATTTTGAAGAAAAATTTAACTGAAAAAAATTCTTTCATTCACAAATAAAAATATTAAAATTTACAAATTATTTATTTTGATAAAAATTAATTCAAAGAATGAACATGTATCTTATGTCAAAAAGAAGGGTCTGAATTTTGCTTTAATTATAAAGTTGATTTTAAATTCAATGTCAACTATAATTTTATTGAATTTATTAAATTTAGCTTAAAATATTTTTGTGGAAAATTTTAGAAGGTTACCACTTTAACCAGAAATAAAAACAAACATTATCTTGTTTGAAACACTTCATTATATCAAAGAACTTTATTGAGGAATTATAATAAAAATAGCGAATTAATTAAAATTACAGGTAAATCATTTCTGATAATTAAAAGGCACCAAATTAATGTGCACAATTAAAAGAACACTTTTTACAGGCGAATATATATTTAGGTAAATTAAACCAAGAAGCTAGTACATAGTAAAATAGTAAATTTAATTTTTAGGAAAAATTAAACAAAAACAAACACTAAAAAGAGAATTTTTATATTCGTTTAAAATTTATTTTTTGAAAAATAAATTCAATTTTTATAATTAATTTAGTGTTTGTAAAAAATGACTATAAAAAACAGAAAAAAAAGGAAAAGAGAGAAAACAAAAAATAATCAGAATTATTTAGTCTTCAACAGGACAAGAAGTGAATCATGTATAGACGATGGAGAAACTGAAAAAGTAATTTTTTAAAAATTGTAAAATAATTTTTACTTTAGCAAAAAAATGAAAAAATAAAAAACCAAAATTTCCTTTTTATCAAAATTAATCAAAAAATAACCAATATTATTGATAAAAATCTAAATGACCAAAAAGCAGGGGATGTTAGAATAACTCTTTCTTTTTTATAATTAAATAAACAAAACCCCCAAAAAAGAGACGGAACCTATTTGTGAAAGACAAAAAAAGTAAAATTCCATAGATTTTTAGGAAAAAACTTACAATTAAATAGAAAATAAATTAAGCTCAAATTTCTTCAAAAATTAAACTTATAGTTAAATAAATTTAATAAATTATTACATATATGAAGTTCCTGAAGCTCTCACTGTGTTGTTGCTCCATACTTTGTTGGCGTGCCCGGTGTTGTTTGAGAACATGTAGGTGCGTCACTGCCAGGATTTGCTTCTGAATAAGGAGGTGGAGGCTCGTAACTCGTTGTTATTTTTATTCCCTCGATGTCTTCATAAATTGTAAATTTTTGGAATTTATTTTCTTCAGTATCAAAGGCAGTCTTAAAATTTTAAAATAATTGGGTAAAATTAGAAACGTTAAAAATACTTGATTGGAAGTTTGTTGAGGTTGTGTAGATATTGGATCTTCAGAATTACTTGACAAATCGAATGGCTAAAATATAATTTATTTAAAATATTATTTACAAAAATTACATTGGAACCGTCCATTCTTTTAGGTTTGTATTTTCCACAGCAACAATTGCAACAACCATTGAAACAAAAACAGCAACAGCAGCAACAGAAAAAGCACCCGCAAGTTAAGAAACAAATTGAGCAGAATAACCACTAAAAATTGTTTTTGAAAAATATTTATTTAATTAAATTAAAAACAAAATTTTTACTTTTAACCAAGGTTTAAGCATGATATTAATGTGCTCCTCTCCAAGTTGATCGGCCATCTAAAATCAAAAATATACGAGAATCCAATCAAAAATAAACCTTAAGACCCATATCTCCATATTCATCGTAAATTCTCCTTTTTGATGGATTAGAAAGAATTGTATTTGCATAATTAATTTCTTGAAACTAAAAATTCAAAGTAGTAAAAAATTAAAATAAAAAATTACCTTTTTATTGAAGTCTTCATTATTTTGATTTTTATCAGGATGGTACTTTAATGCAAGACGACGATAAGCACCTTAACAGTTTTGTTTCAAAAACAAAAAAAAACAATATACTCACGCTTAATATCATCATCAGTTGCATTTTTAGTTAATCCCAAAATCTCATAAAGATTGCCTTTCTTCGTCAAACTAAAAAAATAAATTTATTAAAATACAAATAAAAAGTCACAAACGAGTCATTCAAAAAACCGGCACCAGCTGATCGTCTATTTTCACTGCTTGAAGATCTCGTATATTCTGGTTCAGGTGTCATAGGTTTGTCTTTTCTAAAAAAATTGATTACTAAATTGTTAAACAAAGAGAAATGAAATTGTGACTGTGTGAATCATTACAAAAACTCTTTAAAATTAGGTGAAAATTGAGAAATAATCATTAACAAATAAGGACAAAAATCCTTTCTTTTTCTTATCATTTTCTCTCAATACACTATTTTCTCATCTCATTTCTCTGCAGCTAGACTTCAATTTGGAAAAATAATAGTGTGTCGATTTGGTAACTTTTAAAATATAATTTCGGTTATTTGAGTGCCCATATTTGAGTGCTTACAATTGAGGGCGAGATTCTTTATTTTAACAATTCTTTTGTTTTCAGTTTTTTCATGTTAATTTTATTTTCTAGTTTCAACATGTTTCGTGCTGTTCTAAATAATTCCCAGCGGGCTTTAATTTTGGCAAATTATGAAGGGCAGAGAGGATTTGCAACTTTAAAGGATATCTCAATTCGACTTAAATCTATTAAAAATATTCAAAAGATTACTAAATCAATGAAAATGGTTTCTGCCGCTAAATATGCCAAAGCTGAGCGAGAACTCAAAGGAGCTCGTATTTATGGCCAAGGAGCTCAAGTATTTTTTGAAAATTTGATGAAGGATGTCGCTGCCCAAAAAGACGATACACCTACTGCAGGAAGCAAACGGATTCTTGTAATGGTGACAAGTGATCGAGGGCTTTGTGGTTCTGTCCATACATCAATCGGAAAGGTTTATTTTAATTTTGAATTTTTTATGCTTTTATTTCTTGAAGAGTAAATACTGATTGAATTTAAATTTTTATATTTTATTTAAAAATTTAAGTTGACAAGAAGTATTTTGACAACCAAACCAGAGGGTGTCGAATATAAGCTTGTTTGTATTGGTGACAAAGCCCGGGCACAAATGCAGCGTCTTTATTCGAAAGACTTTCTTTTTACCGCTAATGAAACTGGGCGTACTCCACCAACATTTCACGATGCTTCAGTTACTGGTTTTTTTATTTGAATATTTAAAGTAATTTGGAATAAATTTTTAGCAAATGCAATCCTCTCTTCTGGTTATGAGTTTGATGGAGTATTTATTTTAAATTATTTATTTTAAAAAATTCTTTTTAGGGTGATATTCTCTACAATCAATTTAAGACGGTTGTTTCTTTTGAGACGAAACGTCTTCCAATTCCATCTTTACAAACTATTCGAAGTTATCCTCGTTTGAGTATTTATGATTCAATTGATGATGACGTCCTTAAACGGTATTTTTTTAATTAAAGTGTTAAAGGATTTTGGAAAAATTTTTAATCCCATTAATATATTTCATTGTTGAAACATTTTTCGAGTTAAAATGGGTAATAGTGTCGTTTCCATACCCCCTTTTTTCCTCCACAAGTTTTTTACTATAATTTGCACAGAATGGACAGACTTTTCCTCTTTCCATCACAATTTCCTTTCTTTCTAAAAAACTAAATAAAAAATAATCATTCTTGATTGTTTGATGGCAGAATATATAAGGCATTGTGATGGAAGGAGGAAAAGTCTGACCATTCTGTACAAATTATAGGAAGAATTTGGTGAGGAAAAAAGGAGACTAGAAACGAGACTATTACCTTAAAATGTTTTCTTTTAATGTTTTTCAAATTCAAAAATCCCTATCCCTTTTTTACACCTTAAATTTAGTTATGTTGAATATTCCTTGGCTCAGTTAATTTATTATGCAATGAAAGAAAGTGCTACAAGTGAACAGTCTTCTCGAATGACTGCAATGGATGGAGCAAGCAAAAATGCTGGTATAATAATTTTATCTTTTTTTCTATTTAATTAAATTTAAAGGAGAAATGATCGACAAATTGACTCTTCAATTTAACCGAACTCGTCAGGCAGTAATTACTCGTGAATTAATTGAAATTATTTCTGGTGCTGCTGCAGTTTAATTTTGTTTATTTGAAGTCAATTTGAAAAAAAAAAAGATAGGTTTGATAAAATAATAGATTAAAAAAAGTTTTGTTTGTTAAATTGGGGGAATTAAAAATGACTAGACAATTTTTTAAATAAAAATTGTTCTTTGCTTTTTTTGTTATTTTGATGTTTGTCTTTAAATTTTTAATTAAATAAAAACATTGTTTAAAAAATTACTAATGTTAAGCGAAGATATTAGATATACCCATAATATAATTTACAAAATGTTTTCGATGACATTCAATTAAATTTCTTATCAAGGATTAAATTCTTTTTCGGCTTTTCCTTCTCATAATTATGAAAAAAAATAATTTTGAGAACAACCCCTTTTTTGTAAAATTTAAAAATAATTTTTTTAAATAAACTTTTGAATTGTTTACAATTCGAAAAAATCTGTTCCTTCCTTCTTTTTTTAAATATTAATTTTTTCGTTTCTCATAATTTTATTTTAATATTACTAATTTAGAGAAAAGAAAAAAAAACCACAAAATTTTACACTCGTAATCGTCGAATACGAAGAACAAAAATAATAATAATTTTTACTTTTGTGTAATATAAACTATTTTATTATACAATTGATCATATGGGAATAGTAAAAAATAAAAAAATAAATTTTTTTATATAATCTACCGAACACTTTATTTGCGTAATGTTTTTTGCGTCAAGGTGATTTTAAATGCTTTGTACTAGAATATATTTGTATTTAATATATATTTTTAGTACGTGGGTATGAAAAGCCTAAAAAATTTTTTTTCGTCTATCTTTCGCGAATAAGGAGGGGGTGGTGGTGGGTGATTGACAGTTTTTTTCATTATTTTTCTCTTAAATGGTGTGTCCCCAAAAACACCAAAAAGTAATCGTTTAATATATTTAGCTCTAATTTTTATTTTTTTTTATTTTTCTTATATTTGTAATAGTGTAGTGTGTGTGTGTATATTTTTAAACAATTCTTTTTAAAAGGAATGAAGGTTTTTTTCGCCTTTTAGGAATGTTTGATAGTGTTTTTAAAGTGGTAAGGCGGGAAAAGTCATTCCCCCCTTCAACTTCCCGGCGCAGTCATTTTCTAAAGAGAGTAAGGCAATCATTTGCGCCTAAAAAAGCTCAAAAAAAATTTTATACTTTTCTTCCCACATTTTTATGCTTTTGTGATCGATTCATCATTCTAGCAGTTAACTAGCCCCATCTTTTCTTTTAATTCTCCCCCCCCCCTCCTCCCTATTTTTACTTACATTAGTAGTAACTATTTCCGCAATCATCCTCCTTCCCAATTCTCTCCTTTTAATCCATCTACTACCACACAACCAGTCGGCTTTTAATATAATTTTTGTTTTTTTTAATAAATAATAACCGGGCTTAAAAGTAATTAAATAAAAATATTTTTGAGATGTCCAAAAAAAATTCCAATTTTTTAATTTGAAAATTTTTTTCTTGTTGGCTTTTTTTCGATTTTGTTTATTTATATGGGAATTCTATTTTTTATCATTTATTTAAGTTTAAAATTTTTGGATTCCCCCCACGCTTCTCCTCTATCAATTGATGGTTGATAGACTAATCAAACAAAACCTCCTCCCCCCCCTCCCTCTCTATTAAGTTGGACTAACTTTTCTCTTCTTCTTCTCCTCCTTCACCACCTCCTCGAACCATAGCAAAAGCACATTTTTAACTAGTCTATCCGCCGCTTCCCCCTTCGATTATTCGTTGTTAAATGACAATACGATTATTTAGAGAAGTTATTAAATATTTAACAAACCCGCAAAAAACTCTTTTTTATTTTTTAAATTTTTAAATGATATTTTAAACTTAAAAATTAACTAAAAATTAATTTTTGAATGTGTTTTTCTTTTAACTTATTAAAATTTTAATAAAAAAAATTTATTTTGGAAAATAAAATTTTTTTGTGGATTTTTTAGAGGGGGTATTTTTTTCGCAATTTGTACTTTTTTAAAAAATGTAAAAAAAAAATTTTTTTTTAATTCTCTTAAAAAATGTCTAGAGAATAAAACGTCAAACATTTATCGATTTAAGAGAAAAAGAAACTAGTTTTAATGTGGATTTGTGATACAATTGAATGAATTAAAATAATAAATATCCAATAATCTTTGAACTTGTTTACGGCATTTAATAGAAAAAATTCTATTTTTGGATTTCAATCCTTTTTATGCTTTATTTGCATATTTAAAATTAATAAGAAAATGGTAAACAGAAAATATTTAGGAATAAAAAAGTTTTTTTGTTTTTTTTTATTTTTTCGCAGATTTTCTGGAATATTAAAATTCGAGAATTGTTTTTGTTATTTTAAATATTAAAAACAGCACAAAAAAACAATAACAATTATTTATTTAAACTTTAAAAACTTCACTACCTCCCAAACATTTTAATTAAGATTAGTCGATTTTCTTTTTTAATTTTTCTCGAATCGGGAATTAAAATTTAATTTTTCCCTTTGTCTAATGGACTCAATATAATTTTATGTTTAATCTATTATAATATTGATTAGAGGGAAGAAGGGAGAACGTTTTAATTTTTTCCCATTTTTTATTCTTTCCATTCATCTGATTAAAAGTTTTTTTTAATTTAAAAGAAAATTTTTAATTTAAAAAAAGTTCAAGTTAATAATTTTTTAAAGAAAAAAAAATTAAAAGAAAATCGACAACGGGGGAATTTTAAAAATATTTTTTTAAGCCTCGATTTTTGTTTTATTAAATTTACAGTCGTGGAAAAAAGTATGGAAGCGCTATAAAAATTTTATTTAATTCTTAGTTTTTCATTCAAAAAATACGTTCTATATACCAATCGAAAGCTCTATTCGTATCTCAGTTGACATGTTTCTGCATTTTTCATAAAAATGAAAATTGGCCGAGATAATCCGGATCTACCGGATATACCAAATCCCATTTTTTCGGAAAAATTTTTCGGAAGAAATTTAACAAACCCATTTTATAAAGCATATTTTTCTGAGTATTTTCCACAAAACCGCTTAAAAATATCTTTTTCCGGAACAGAGATATGATTTTTTGAAAATCGTATTTTTCGTCAATTTTTGCAAAAAATTCAATTTTTAAGCGAAAAATGCAATTTTCAAAAAATCATATCTCTGTTCCGGAAAAAGATATTTTTAAGCGGTTTTGTGGAAAATACTCAGAAAAATATGCTTTATCAAATGGGTTTGTTAAATTTCTTCCGAAAAATTTTTCCGAATAAATGGGATTTGGTATATCCGGTAGATCCGGATTATCTCGGCCAATTTTCAATTTCATGAAAAATGCAGAAACATGTCAACTGAGATACGAATAGAGCTTTCGATTGATATATAGAACGTATTTTTCGAATGAAAAATTAAGAATTAAATAAAATTTTTATAGCGCTTCCATACTTTTTTCCACGACTGTATATGTTGGATTATCTCCTAATTCATTCCCTCCAGATAATTAAACATTTAAAACACATAAGCGAGCCTATAACTTTTTTTTTATCTTTTCTCGCTTTTTATGATTGATTTTTGCGAAGTAGCTCAATTTTTCTATTAAATATTTTTTCTGTTAAATTAATTTATCGTCAAGTTTGAAATTTATTTTATCGTCAGATTAATAATTTTTTTAACCAAAATTTGTTTTAAGAGGTGTGGGTCCGCGCCGAAAAGTCCGTGATAAACCGAGGTGGTCCATAAATATTTTGTTGATTTTAAAATCATTTATTAGACTGACATGGGATTGTCTAAACTCATGCTATATTTTTAAATCAATCTTTTTTTAATGGCGCTCACATCATTTAACTATTCTTGTGTTTTTATATTATTTCGTTACAAATTTTTCAAAATACTATTTAAGCCATATTTTCAGTTGTGAACCTTATTTTTCAATAAAAATGCTCAAACAAAACATCTATCAACATTCCATTTCGTCTTCTTCCAGTGCTCAGCCCGAACAACAGGAATCAACGCGATATGACGTCTTTGAACTTGCTAGCGAGAACCAGCCTCAGACAAGCCTGCTGTTAAAGTTGACGGACGAATGTAGTGCTGCCATAAGGAATGCTGCCAATTCAAAGTGTCCTGTCAGGATGCACATTAAGGACGGAGTAATTAATTTACTCACTACCTTTTTAACATATCTATGGCTTAAGGTAGCTACTATTGAAATATGTGACAGGGATGGGGCATGTGTCAACTTCAAATGTTCATTCCAAAATCAGCCGGCGACAGACACGATATGCTATGATCCTAAACAGAATGTCTACAGGTTTGATTTTAAATTGAATTTACGAGTAGAATTTTATTTATTCAATTTAGGAATGTTGGGACGACTACAACGACTAAAATACAGGTTTTTTAAAATTGATAATCTTAATATCAAATCAAAATTTGTTAATAGGTTCAAGCTACCGACAAGACCTTCGCTGAGATGAAAGAAAAGACTCAACGGCTGGTCGAGGCAGAACAACAAAGGAAAGCCAAGGATATTTCTAAAATTCAACGGCCTTCAGCAGCTTCCAAAAAGCCAATACTAAACCAGTCGAGCAACAGCCTTATCAAGAAAAATGTGCCAGCGACTTTTGGACATTCCAACACCAACAATATCCTTGCTAAATTGGGTGCATTGAAGAGGCATTCTCCTTCGCCGTTGAATGTTGCTGCTGCAAAGGTCAAACGTGTTGAAAAGCCATTAGAAAGGCCGACGCCGTTGCCTTCAAAAGAAGTTAAGAATATCAAACAAGAGGAGCCAGCTCCAAAGAGCATGGATATGACAGTGAAAGCTGTTCGTTCTACTGAAGATAATGAACGCCAAAACACGTTGACGGTTTGTTTTTAAATTTGAAGCTTTATTTAATCTCCCCAATTATTTTAAGCATTATCCTAAGAAGATTGAATTTGCCGCTGCCAATAATGCCAAAAACGATCCCTTCTATGTCCCAAAAAGGAAGCCACTTCACCGGCCACCTTCAATTTCGCCAGCGTCTACAACGACTTCAACACCAAAAACTATTTCCCCGCCGCTTGCCATGGCTAGACCTGCTTCTGTCGACAGTGCCCAATTGCAGCATAGTTCTTCTTGCTCTCCAGAAGATTTAATTAATAATCAAGAGGAAAATGGCCGTCAACAAGATGAAGGATCGATGACTTTGCCAACTAAACTTTCTTGTGATTGGTCTCTTAAATTTGGAAAGATTGCTAATAAAGAAGAAGCTAAAAGATATCATGGGATCTTTAAGGTCAGAAAAATTTTTTTCATTCTCTTCAAAATCAAAATTATTTTAAGGAGGATTATCCAGAATATCGCAAATGCTATGATTTGATGGAAAAAGTCGCTGTTGAATTCCGTGCTCTTCAAACAAAATTAACTTCTGCCAAGTCAGATGTTGATCGTTTTGAGGTTTTTATTCTTCAAAATGTTCCTTTTGTTTATTTTTAAAATTTAAGGTTGAAGATCAAATTAGAAGCAAATTCGCCTCTTATCAATGCAATCAAGACTTTCTTCAACAGCGTGTGAGGCACAGTGATTTGCGTGCAAAATTGGATTTGTTAAAATGCCGTCTGAAGGAATGGAGCGATAAAGAGAAGAGTGGATATAAGATGGAGCTTTGAAAGGTTAAAATATAAAGATTATATTAGGAAATTAAAACGGTTCTATTTTTTGTAATTTTCCTTCACGTGGTAATAATTTCGAAATCTGTTTTCTTTGGTTTTTAATGGACATAGTATATTCTTTTTCTTAAATTTTGTTGCTTCGATGCTTTTTTGTTTTTTTCTTTTGTATCTGTTGCATAAATTTGATCAGAAAAATTAGTTTAAGAAAGTTGGTCTGATTTTCCAGTTATCCTATAAATTCTCTAAAAAAATTTTTGCCATCCTAGTTTGGGTAAATTTACAAATTCAGCCCGTAAAGGTTATTTTTCTTTAATTTTTCTTACTTCTCTGTCCAAATTTATGCACTTTCTATAGTTGTTATTTAATTTCTACGCATATCTTAAGTTCACAAGCCCATAGCTTAAAAGTAAATATATTCATATAAATACCCATAAGATCAGGTTGTTACAGTAAATCCGTTAAATTTTGTACGTGCTTCTTAAATTCCTGCTTTTTTATAAAATTATTTAAAAAATATACTGGTTATTTCTTGACAAATAAATCATCACTTTAAGGGCCATTTTCTAATATAGTTTTATATTTTTGTGATTTTCACTTTTTTATTTTGCTGAAAAGAAATAAAAAAATTTTAAAATTGTATAGGTTTCTTTATCTTTGAATTAAAGAGTAAATTTTCATTGAAAAGATTTGACAAATCTCCAACTTCTTTCTGATAAATTAAACGTTTTATGTAATTATTTAATGAAATTTTTGAATTAAAGAATTTCCTTTTGAATTTTTTAATGTCATAATTTCTCCATTACGGGATTTTAAGGCCATTTTTTAAGGTTGGAACCTCGTTTTTAATCCAAAATTTCTTAATCACAAAAATATTAAATAAATTTAGATATTGTAATAGTAGTTGCAATTTTTATAGTAAATTACCCACCTACCTACATTTGTTACTTTTTATATTTTCTATAACTTTAAGAAAAAAAGTTGTGTGTTAAATTAGAGAAATGCCTATATTAAAAATAATCTTTTTAAAATCTTATTAAACGCCTTTTATATATTTTTATTTAAAAAGTTTTAATATACTATCAAGAAAATTCATTTTATTTTACGTGTAAATTGTGGCTATTTAAAAAAAGTTGCGGAGTATTTTCTCTCTCATTTTTAATTAAAATTATCGCTTTTTGTTGTTGTGCAGCATTAAAAGTAGAGATTTTATTAAAATTAAATTTTTGGATTAATTAAATATTTCTCTAAATTAAAATCTCTACTAAATAAAAAAGAATGCGCAATTTATTATAAAAAAACACATGTTCAATTTATTTGTGAACTGGTACAAGAAAAATAAACATTCGAATGTTGTGATATTTTGCTAGAAAATTTTCATTCCATTAAATAGAAAGAAAAATTAAATGTATTGAAAAACAGAATTCTGGTTAAAAATTAATTTTTTTTTGTTTATTTTGTTTAATTTACATATAACCAGAATTTTTAAATTTATTCTACATTAACAAAGCAACATTTATTTTATAAAATGATTAAAATTATAAATTTTATTTGTATACTATTTACTATGCTCATTTCAATTTTAAAAATAAAAAGATTAAATGATAAAGTGTTTGAACTTGTGTTTTTATTTTTTCATTTATTAGAAGCTTTTTATAAGCATCTTTTAACTGTGAAGTTTGTTGGAACATTGAAAATTTATTTTAAAAAATTTATTTTAGTTTAGAATGACATTAGATGTTAAACAGGAAAAATATTAATGGGATTTCAATTTTATATAATTCATTTTCACTGAAAGGATTCGAACCTCTCCCATTTTTCGCTGTAAAGTGGGCGCATTAACCAACTAGACCATACTTTCGCACTGAAAGGAGAGTTGAACTCTGCCTATTTTAAGCGAATTTATTTTTCAGTTGATGTTGACTTGTTTCTATTTCGTATAAATAGACAGACATGCACTAGACTGTTAATTGTAAATAGTTTTTTTTAACAAAATGGGATGATTCATAAATTATGAGTCATTTTAATTATTAAATTATTTTCTCCAATTTTTTTAGTAATCAAAACTAAATTTACCTATCTATTTTTTTAGCTTTATAATTAATTTATTTCTTTTAAAAAATGTTAATGTCTGGACAAAAAGAATTTGGAGAGCAGGATATTGCTAGTATGTTAAAGATTATGGAAGAGGCTAAAAAGCATAATGAACAGGCTAGACAAGCCTATTTGGCTCAAGACTATCGGTTTTTTTTTAATTTTTTTTTATTTTTATTAAATTAATTTAGTAAAGCTGTACAGTTTTATCACCGTTGTATGCTTAGTGCAAAAGCTGTTGTTCAACTGACAAATACAGACTTGCGTGAAATGGCCCGTGCACTTATTGACAATAAAACTGGAGATGGAAAGTCGGACAATCTGCAAACTGGTAGTGAGTCTGATCAACCTTTGAAACAGTTACAAACTGAAGGTTTTAATATTGTTAAAAAATTTAAGAAATTCACAACAAGCTATTTAGAGTAAAATCACGTACCCTTAATTCTTTAGGGCAGAAGGAAAAATTGGTAATATTGAACCGGACAGACCCCTTTTTTTCTCCCCAATTTTTCCCCTATATTTTTGTTGAATGGTCAGACTTTTTCCTTTCTAGGATAATTTTAGCCTGCAATCAAAAAAAGGATTATTTAATTTTATACAAGTACATACCAAAAACAAGTAAAAGGAGGAAAAATTGGGGAGAAAAAAGGGGTCTGTCCGGTTCATTACCGAAAAATTTCCCCACGAAAAATTTAAACAGAATAATGGACCTTTTGCTACAAAAATGAAAAAATTTCCCAGCTGTTTGATACTAGAAAAACACCTTTTTTTTGATTTTGATTAATAATTTGTTAAACTTTCCTTTTAAAATTTTTTTTCAGGTTCACTTTCCACTGCCAGCAGCAGCTCTCGAATTCGTCAAGATTCTACAACTTGTGGACAAGAGATTCTCACAGAGGCTAAAGATTTGATGACTAAATGTTATAATAATTTGGCAGCTTGTCTTTTAGCTCGTGATTCGAATACAAAGGAAGACTTTATGAGAGCGGTTTTTTATTGTGATAATGTGGGGAAATTTATTTGGGAATTTTAAATTAGTTTTTTGAAGGTTTTGAAAGATGATCCAATTAATGAAAAGGCTTTGTTTCGAAAGGGAGTGGCTTTGATGCGGGCTGATAATTGGGATAAGGCAATTGAACAGCTGGAGAAATGCAAAGATAGTAAGGAAATTTTGAAAATAAAACTTTTTTTTAATTAATCCAAAGTACATCAAAACTTTTTTAGATGCCCAAGCAAAACTTTACATAATTGACTGCCATCGATATATTGAAGAAGATCGTCGACGACGAGATGCTGAAATTCGTGCAAATTTTGCGAAAGCTCGCGCTGGAGAGGTTAATTTCTTAAATTGTTTAATCCAAAATTAAAAAGAAATATTTCAAGTAGATCGGGGCCTTTTCCCTGTTATATCATTTATTAAAAAATTTGTTGTAAGTAAACGATGACCTAGTTATCTGTTGTGAGCTGAACCATGAAGTTTTTAATTTATGTAGTTTCCCCTTATTGGAAATCCGGGTAAACCCAGATTTAGGGTTCTCTCCAAGTTTTCTCCTATATATTTGCAGAATGGTCAGACCTACCCTAAACCCTGGTTTACCCGGAAATCATCCATCCTGCATGTCTATTCTGTTAAGGATTCTTTTATGTTAACATTCCTTTCCAATAAAAATTGTGGATGGAGTATTCCTATCGATAAACTTTATTTTAACAATTTTAATTCTATTTATAAATTAAAAAAAATTTTTTTCAAAGGATAATGTGCACGTAGGCAACGCAAATGGACCTTTACAGGATAATAATAACAATCATCCTCCACCTCCCCCTACAATGAATGGACATGTTCAACACTGATCTTTAAAGGAAATAAAAAAGAGAGTGAGAGATTGGTTGGGCTATAGTGCCTAGAAAATCTTAAAATTTTAAATGAATTTTTTAAATAGATTCTTTAAACATTTGTTTGATTTTGAAAAATTTTTGGCGTAGAAAATAGCAGAAAAGATTTTTTGATAGATCTAATCTATGAATGACTTTTTTTAGACTACAATTTTATGCCAAAAATTTAAACATTTTAAATATATGATTTTAATTAAAAAAGTAAAATCAAAATGAATTTCAAAAAAAAACGAGAATAATGGAAAATAATAGTTTATTTGAGAGAAAATAATTTAGAGTAGGTAAATGTACAGCTGGGAGTCCTTATGTCTGCAAAGGGCTTTAACGAAATTTACTAGGAATCGAACCAAAGCCTAAACCAACAATAAATTAGGTGTAGGTTAACGACTGGCCGAGCTAACTACTGGACCAGTCGCTCCTCTAACAATAAGTGAAAATGAAAGAAATTAAAGATACTAATGAAAAAATATCCGCCTTTTAAGAATATTTTTAAGAATACAATCGGTCCTTTTACATTAATCCTTGGGCTGAAATTACCTTAAAAATTCGATGGTTTATCCATTATTGGTGTTTATTGCTCTTAGATAGCAATTTATGTGTTGGATATAACTTATAGTAAGGTTAGACTAATAGAAAAAATAATGGTTGGGATTTTGATTAAAGGGTTGATATGGACATATTTATTTACAAGCAATTTAAATGAGATTTATGCTTGAAAATATTTTTCAAAAAATAAATTTTTGTTCATAAACGAATCCAAATTATTATTTTAGTTTTTATTAAAATATTATCGCTAAAATATTTTTACTAGTTTAATTGTTAGAGAATAAAAAAAAGACTACTATTAATTGCCAAGAGACAAATAAAAAATAAAAAAGATCCGTTTAGTCTTAGAATAATTAATTATTAATTTTTCTCCCACCTAATTTTTCTTCAACTTTTATTTGTTTAAAAACAGCTTTAATTTTTAGTTAAATTCCTGATTTTTAGCGAAAATAAAAAGAAAAGAATGGATTGCCTTGTACTTGACAACTTTTTCTTTTTTTTTCGCCACTTCCTTTTTTGTTAAAACTTTCGTTAATAAATAATTATTTTATTGGTTATCATCTTTTTGGGTGGCAAGGAGGGAGAGAGAACAAACAATTGATTGATTGTCTTAGAACGGCGCCGCAGGTGGCAATATTATTAACTTAATAATTAATAATTTTGCGAGAAAATCTTTTCTTTTTCTAATAATTTTGCGCGTAAAACGAAACAAGAAAATAATAATTTTTTGTTTCTTTATTGGAGGAGAAGCTTCTCTCTCTCTTTCTCTCTCATGCACGGCAAGATGAAAGGAAGAGCTGGCATAAAGAAGTAAAAAAAGGGAAGATGAGGAGTTATGATCGGATAAAGCGAGAAAATGAATGGAAAGAAAAAAGAAAGAAAATATTTTTTATTATTAGACCGGTCTATGATTTTGCTGTTTTTAACTGCCCTTGAAAGGAATAAATCAAGGGAAAGTAGTTAAAATAGTAGATATTAGCTTTGGCGAGATAAATATTAAATTGAGAGAGAAGGAAAAATGATGATTGAGTGAGTGAATGATGATATAGTGTGTGTAGGGAAGGAATAAGGGGGGAGGGAAGGGGGAATAAGGAAGGAAGGGCCTTCTGAATATTTTTAGGAAAGAGAAATTTTTAGAAAAGCTTTGAAAAGTAAAAGAAGCTAAAAATGGGCGGGAATAGCTTCTCGTCTTTATTACATCCGGCCGGAGTTCTCCCAACAACAAACCACCCGTGCTTGTGAAAGGGGCGAGACGTTCACGGCTATAAAATCGCCATTCAATGGATATTAAACAGCATTTGGCTACTCAATTAAAATAAAATAATATTCTTTAAACAACGCTAGTTAATTAAAATAAAATAATTATGATTCTCAGACTTGCTCTTATCAGTTCTGCATTTTTGGCAATTACTGTCCGAGCAATTCCTGTCGACAACTCTCTTGTAGGGGAACCAGAAATAGAATGTGGGGCAACATCTATTACTGTAAACTTCAATACCCAAAACCCATTTGAGGGGCACGTTTATGTTAAAGGACTTTTTGACCAGCAAGGATGCCGTTCAGACGAACATGGAAGACAAGTAGCTGGTATTGAACTTCAATTCGATACTTGTAATGTTGCACGTACTCGTTCATTGAATCCAAAGGGTGTATTTGTGTCAACAACAGTTGTTATATCCTTCCACCCTCAATTTGTTACTAAAGTTGACAGAGCATATCGTGTCCAATGCTTCTACATGGAGGCAGACAAAACTGTTTCTGCACAGCTTGAGGTGTCCGAAATTACAACCCAATTCCAAACACAAATTGTACCTATGCCTGTGTGTAAATATGAGGTAAAATTTCCAAAAAACTTTTTATAAAAAAATATTTTCAAAACAACAGATCCTCGAAGGGGGCCCAACTGGTCAACCAATTCAATTTGCCATTATTGGCCAACAAGTTTATCACAAATGGACTTGTGATTCAGAGACAATAGACACATTCTGCGCTGTTGTACATTCTTGTACTGTTGATGACGGTAATGGTGATACTGTCCAAATATTGAATGAAGAGGGTTGTGCTTTGGATAAATTCTTATTAAACAACTTGGAATATCCAACTGACTTAATGGCTGGACAAGAAGCTCACGTTTATAAATATGCTGATCGTTCACAACTTTTCTATCAATGCCAAATTAGTATTACAATTAAAGAACCTCACAGTGAATGTGCACGTCCAAAATGTGCAGAGCCTTCTGGCTTTAATGCTGTCAAAGTTGGCGCTGGAGGGGCGGCGGCAGGAGGAGCACCACCTGCCCCAGCTGCAGCAACACCTGCACCTCCCCCTCAATCTCCAGCACCCGCAAATCCAATTTCTGGACGTCGTCCCGCTGCTGCAGCACTTGCCCAACTCCGACTTTTACGTAAACGCCGTTCAGCTCCAGGAGAACAAATACTTGATGTTCGTACTGAATTTAGTGCTCTCGACATTTCTGACAAGGTAGAAAGAGTTTTATCATAAGTTTAACAATTTCTCTCTTTTATAGACTCCAGTCTTGCCATCAGAAATCCGTACTCGTCAACCAGAACGATTTTTAATGGCCACTGTCCAAGAAGGAATTTGTATGAGCAGTTTTGGCTTTTCAATGTTTATAGGCCTCGGAGGAATGATGTTAGCAGCTACAGTCGTTGTGTTAACTTATGCTTTCCGGCCTCACCAAGTGTTAAGCAACACAAAAGCTTAAATTTAATTTTTAAATAAATTATTTTTTGGCATTATGTGATTAAAAATATTTATTTTTAAATTTTTCCTTTAAAATCTCTTTTTTATATTTTTTTGCACGATTATTGCTGAAAATCACCCAAAATTATAAATAATTATTTTTAATTTCCCCCAGCTCAAATTACCTATTTTATACCCTCCCTCCATTCTTTAGCCAATAATTTATTTTAAATTGTTGAAAATTAGTTTGTCCTTTTTTGTTTTTTTTTTTTGTATTTTTCTGCCGTTGTCGTGCAGAAAATTTAATTTTTTAGCAAAATATTTTTCTTGACCATTAAAATTATAAAAATGTTTTTTAAATTTATTTTTTATTTGTTTGAGCAAAAAATCCTTTAAAAATAGAGAAAACCCCAAAAGATCAACTCTAGTTGATCTCTTGGGTTAATTCCTTAGAGGAAAACAGGCTTTAGCACTTTTCTTCTATCATTTCCTTAATCTGCTTTTCTTTAATTTGTTTTTATCTTTTAAAAACTTGCTTTCCCTTTCCTTTGGATAGAACGCGGAAGTTAAGCAGTTAATTACCCGAAATAAACACTTTTTGATATTTTAATCCGCTTTTGGTGATATTGAAAAGGAGAGGAAATGTGGGGTCCGATATTAATTAGTGATTAAGTGATTAACAACGATCAACTTTTAAATGTTTTTAGAAAGTACAATAATTAATGTGTGGTATTTGTTTTTGAGTTTGTTACAAGCAAAAATAAAGTGAATTACCAGAAAATAAGAGAATTAATATGATTTTATGTAAGAACCCTCCCAACGCAAATTTATCAACTAACGATTAACTAGGCTTATAAAAATCAGCCCATTTTAAAACTTTGATAATTAATCTCTTTCTTTTATTCTTTTATAATAAATTTCTAAATTCAAACAATAAATTTACAAATTTCTACGCATCACAGAATTTATAACAATTCAAAAGTGGATCTTCAGGAAAAGATTTTATAGCTAACAAAAATAAAAATAATCGTAAAAAATGAAAAGAATAACCAAAAAAACTTAAATAATTATAAATAAATTGTCACAAAAAATATCAAAATAATACAATTAATAATTAAGTTTTAGAAAAAAATGAAATTCATGATTAATTTCTGAGGGATTATTGATAGGACCGGTAAAGGATGTTTTGAACAAAAAGGACATTTTAATGAAATTGTTAATAAGTAAAATTCTAATATAAATTTATGTAGGACGAAGTCGTCCAAACTTTAAAATTCTTAATTTTTGACTACTTCTAAATATATTTTCACTTAATTAATTTAAATTATCGTTCCATTTTATTCCATGTGCCAAAAGGAAAATTGAGAGCCAGCTACTACTGTAGAGTTCAAAAAAAGGAATAAAAAATACGTAACACACAAAAATTTCAAATCAAAATAAGAAGAGACTTTCGTTACATCCATTATTATTACTATAATCTAATATTTCAATATTTGTTTCATAAAATGCAAATTAACAAGAAATACATAGATTATTACATGATAAAATTAGTTAAATTAAAAATTTCTTTGATCTAAAATCTTTCTATTCAGATTTTTTACTTATAATTTTTTAATTAAATTTTTTAACAATTTAAAAACACTTATTTGCTATAACATTTTTATTACTAACTAATAAATTATCTACTAATTTTTAATAAATATTACAATAAATTAACGGCACTTTAGGCACAAATAAATTAATAAATTAAATTTTAAGGGAAGTTTTTATTGCACTTTTGTTTTTTTTAATTCTCATTATTTCTTTTAATTTTCAAATTCCTCAATATTGCTTTATCTGTGGACGAAATGTACACATTGCAATAACAACTAAATATTAGGAAAAAATTTTTATAAAATTAAAAATCTAACCAAATGCTGCAACCATCGCAACTCCCATTGCGAGAAATACAAAAAGTCCAAAGGAAGACATACAAACTTGTTGGCCTCTTTGGGAAATAAACGAACGTTGGGGCTCAGCCAAAAATCCTCCAGACAATTGACGATGGCGAAGAGGAGGAGGCAAATTATAGGGCTTAAAATATGGAAAGAGGGTAAATTGAAAAAAACATTTTCTAATTATCCTTTTACCTTGTCAGAAATGTCGAGAGCACTAAATTCAGTACGAACATCAAGTATTTGTTCTCCTGGGGCTGAACGGCGTTTACGTAAAAGTCGGAGTTGGGCAAGTGCTGCAGCAGCAGGACGACGTCCAGAAATTGGATTTGCGGGTGCTGGAGATTGAGGGGGAGGTGCAGGTGTTGCTGCAGCTGGGGCAGGTGGTGCTCCTCCTGCCGCCGCCCCTCCAGCGCCAACTTTGACAGCATTAAAGCCAGAAGGCTCTGCACATTTTGGACGTGCACATTCACTGTGAGGTTCTTTAATTGTAATACTAATTTGGCATTGATAGAAAAGTTGTGAACGATCAGCATATTTATAAACGTGAGCTTCTTGTCCAGCCATTAAGTCAGTTGGATATTCCAAGTTGTTTAATAAGAATTTATCCAAAGCACAACCCTCTTCATTCAATATTTGGACAGTATCACCATTACCGTCATCAACAGTACAAGAATGTACAACAGCGCAGAATGTGTCTATTGTCTCTGAATCACAAGTCCATTTGTGATAAACTTGTTGGCCAATAATGGCAAATTGAATTGGTTGACCAGTTGGGCCCCCTTCGAGGATCTGTTGTTTTGAAAATATTTTTTTATAAAAAGTTTTTTGGAAATTTTACCTCATATTTACACACAGGCATAGGTACAATTTGTGTTTGGAATTGGGTTGTAATTTCGGACACCTCAAGCTGTGCAGAAACAGTTTTGTCTGCCTCCATGTAGAAGCATTGGACACGATATGCTCTGTCAACTTTAGTAACAAATTGAGGGTGGAAGGATATAACAACTGTTGTTGACACAAATACACCCTTTGGATTCAATGAACGAGTACGTGCAACATTACAAGAATCGAATTGAAGTTCAATACCAGCTACTTGTCTTCCATGTTCGTCTGAACGGCAACCTTGTTGGTCAAAAAGTCCTTTAACATAAACGTGCCCCTCAAACGGATTTTGGGTATTGAAGTTTACAGTAATTGATGTTGGGCCACATTCTATTTCAGGTTCTCCTACAATAGAGTTGTCGACAGGAATTGAGTCAATCAAAATTGCTTGAAATGCTAAAATAACGCCTATGGCAAATAATATTTTGCGCATCTTTCTAAAAAAATTTATTTGTAAATTAATTTAAGAGTTTACTAAATTAACTAAACTAAAATTTTACATAATATTAACTACGGTTATTATGGGGTACGTGATATGAGGGGAAGGAGAAGGCTTAGAGATTAAGCTCTTCTCTCTTAAAGACTGGAGAAGGCTTATCCTTAATTCCCCTCTCTAAACCGAAAATTTACATTTTTTTGTTTGAGATAAAGGATACCACGGATTTTTTAAGGTTGATCAGTATAGTTAAAGTTTGCTTTTATTTAAAGTGTATTTTACCTCTCCAAATAACCGTAGTCTATATTAATATAAAAATAAAAATTATTAAATATTAAAAAAATATATTTATGATAAGCTAAAGAAAATATTAACAACAGCTCTTCCTTTTTTAGTATTTGTGTTGTTGTTTAATTATCCTTTCCCTTTTTTAAGGCGTCAATTATATATAGCCATCTCCTCTCTACGTAAAAATCTTTTCTTATAAAAATATTTTTATATATTTTTTCTTATCCCCACCCTCCCCCTCCCGTTCTTTTTTTTTCTTAATTTTTTTAATCGCCCACCAATAACGTTTTCTCTTTTATTTTCTCGCCTTTGCCCCTGACATGCATTCTTTTAAGAGATTTTACCAGCCAGTTATAAGCTTTTTTGTGGGAATCCATAAACGGGTCGTGTCTATAGCCTAAACTACTTTTCCAAAAAATATAAATAAATAGCTTAAGATATATTTTCTTTTCACACAAAAAAAAAGAAATTAAAATAAATATAAGCGATTGAAGGAGAGAAAAGTTTAAAATTAATGTTTGCCCTAAAGCAGTGCAAAATAAAATATATTTTTACATGAATGAAATACATATATATTTAGAGGAAAGTAGCTAAATAAATAAACTACTTTTAAAGAAGAGGTAAGATTAATATTTTTTGCACATTAAAAAGTGTCAAATATTTTCTTCTTTATAAATTTATCTTGAAGTTATTTGATAAAAAAGAAATTAAAAGAGGGCATTATTTTATTTTATGAACCTTTTAATTTACAAAATAAAAAAATACCCATGAATTTTTAGTAAAATCCGAGGCTGCGACGTTATTGGTTTAGTGGTAAATTTAATCCCACGAGGGTTCGAGGACTCTCAGTAATTTTTTAGAATTTTATTTAATTTATCAAAATGTGATTAAAAGAATTTGTTATTTAAATCGGCAGCAATAGTTTTTTTAATTTTTTATTAGGTATTTTAACCGTAGTATGATTATTAGGAACCCTTCCCTTTTAAAAGTCCAAATTTCTTATTAATTAAAAGCCTTAAATTAAGTCGAACAAGAATTGAATAATCTCTCAAAACCTAATTAAATTTTAAGCTAGGTAAAAAAATTTTAGTACCAAAATTTAGTCATATATTATCTTTTTAAATTTTATATGACAAATAAAATATAAAAGATTATATTTTCATAATTTTACACAAAAAATTAAATATATGTATACTTGATAAAAACCACAAAAAAATCCAAAATTAATTTTATTCTTACATTTTCTTATTCCCGACGTAAATTCTCTAAACGAGCCTGTAAATCAGCGTCAACATCACCTACATTATTATTTCCTCCACTTCCACCAGCTACTACTGCCATTGATGCTTGTGGTTGTCGTTGACCTTCACGAGTAGCATTATTTAAGGCATCTGCAGCTGTCGGCAATTTATTTAAGTCTTCGCTCATTTGAATTCCTAATTCGTCAAGAACCTTTGAAAGAATAAATTTTGAGAAAATAAAAATTAAATAAATTTATGAGAAGAAATTCTCAAATCCTAAATTTTGTTTTTAATTTACAATTAAGTTTAGAGTTGGTAGTTTGGAACTTATTTACTTTACGTACACCCCATCTATTCGAAAGCTCAAAATAGTTCAAAATGGTCAACCAACCCTATGGGAGTCAGCGAGACATCAACATGCATCTCGCGGGAGTCAACGGTTGTTTGGAGTAGTACGCAGTAACAGGCTTATAATGGCCTGCGAATAAATGGGGTGTGTACGTAAAATAAATAAGTTCCGGTAGTTTTAATTAACCTTAATTTTACTCAATTTCTATGACAAAATAATGTAAGTTTTTAAAATTTATTTAAAAAAATATAAAAACCTGTTGAACAACTTGTTCAGTCTCTTCTTCCTCGTCTCCCTCACCCATAGCATCGTCTATAGCGTCACTCATCATTTCCTCTTTCATTTCCATTATTTCAGACTGACGTTCAAAATCACTCATAATCTTTTGGATTTGCGGTAAATTAAGTTGTCTATTCATGCTACGCATTGCTCGAGTAACACCTTTCATTGCCTAAGAAAATTAAAAATAAATTTTCAAAGAAAAATCAAAAACCTGTGCCATAGCATCTTGACTTTTTAAGGTCTGAACTTTTAAAGCGACAGCTTGAATATTAGCTTTCATCATAATAAATTTTTTGATATGTTGTCGAGTTCTAACTAAATCTTTAGCCATTATTCTAACAGAATCCTTTTTAAATAATAAAATAAAATTTAAATAAAATTAAAAAAAACCAACCATTTGTCCCATTTTTGCCATTTTTTTAATATCGGCAATTACTTTCTTCTCAGTTCCTTCTAAACGTTGACGTTCTCTGTCTAAATCTCTCATAGCTTTATCTAAAGCACGTTTATTTTGTCGAAGTAATTCTTGTGGCGTTTTACTTCGTCCTTTAATTAAAATTTAAAAAAAATTATTTTTTAACTAAAAAAATTACCAAAAAGAAAGTCCATCATTATTTAAGTCAAAAAGAATTTAAATTAAATAAATTTTATATTTTTTTTCAATTAATAAAGAAATCTAAAATTAATGAATTTTAACGGAAACAAATGTTCGAGGGAAAGAATGACTAATTCTTTAAAAAATTAAAAGAAAAATTATGAAATGCCAACGGCTCCCAGACTTTTCGTCAATGGACATTACGTCAACGGACTTTTTGTCAATGAAATTTAGAAAGCACTAGAACGGTTCACAATATTAAAGTTTTTCTAGACATTTAAAAATCCACTAAATAATATTGAATCGGACGAAGGTAATGTAACGGATAATTAGCTCCCTCAAGTGATTAGTTAGTTTTTTGGGGAGCAAAATGTAATTTGATAAAAAATTGATAAACAAAAGCTTAAAAGTTGGAAAACTTTAGAAATTATTGTTAACCTTCCATATACTCCACTAACAGTAGGACACTGCTTAAGAATTTTACCTCAGTTACTTGAACAACATTCACGTTATTTGAACCTAATGAGAAGTAGCTATAGCCCAGTCCAGCTTTAATACCAACACGCGAGTTACAAGTCTTCGAAAAATTAAAAATTTCACCACAAAATTACAGACCACAAAATCAACCGCTTATTTCAAATTTATAAAACTTAAGGACACAAGAACAAAAAAATATTTATTTACATTCAAGAGAAACAATACTATGTACAATTATGAGGTCAATATACAAGCAAATACACAAGCAAAATACAACAACAATGAATAAGCATATCACTATTCGATATCACAGCAGAGTATATCTCTCTGTCCTAGCGTCTCGTCGGCTTGTAGATCCGTCTCGATATCGCTTGTATCAGCCGTTCGACTGCTTCGACGTCCACGTTGATCCTGCCCGCATCAGCCTTGTTCTTTGCGTATCTGGAAGGGAAAAGTGAAAGTAAGAAGCTGACACGTGTGTTTTTTTATCCCCTACCGGAGAAAGACGCTGTAGATGTACAGGTATTGGTCCAAGGTTTGTACACTGCCTGCCCGTTGACGACGCAACTCTGCTACCAACTCGTAGAAGTCCAGACGATGTCCAGCGCGCAGCGTATTCTGAGCCAAGTAGATCATCACGATGGTCCCGGTTCTGCCAATACCTAAAGTCACAAAAGCTAGTTAAAAATTAAGTTTATGTAGTTGTTCACCTGCCGAGCAGTGGACTACTATCGGCTTGTATTTCCCGATGTAGAAGAGCAGTCGGAGCGCAGCAAGGTGATTCATCGGCACTCCACGATCGGGCCAACGTCTCCAATGGAAGTGTCGAACATTCGCCTGCCGCTTCGGATTGTCGCTGGTTATTTGAAGGCGCGTCCGAATAAGATGGTTGTCGTCCAGTGCCTCGGTATCCACGAAACGGACTCTTATGTTGTCGTCCCGACTTGTGATCGCCTGAAAATCAAAACCCCTTTATTTATGCTTAAATAGAAGAGCCTAACAGATTCCGGCGCATTATCCTTCGGCCAGTACTGATGACACTTGGGACGATTGAGCTCGATGGTGTCACACAGCATAACAACCGCCTCAACTTTCTCCTGCAGAACCATCTCCCAGAAGTCGCCGACAGTCTGCGGAAGCGGGCCCTGTGTACAAATGTACCGACGATCACCTTAAAAATGGAAATTTTGTTATTTTTAAAACATGCCAAGTTTCACCATGGCTATCAATCCAATTGGCGTGAATGTAGCGTCCGTTTGTCAGCGCGACCCGGTTGTTCTCGACACAGATAACGTCCCGATAGCGGTTTAGAGTAGGGTTGCTACAAAAGACAAACAGTTCTGCGTTAAAAACAATAAAGAAAAAAATCACCGTGCAAATTCAGGAGATGGTTCCGGTCGCGGCTGACTCTGCAAGCGCTCGAACTCGGACTCCAAGTCCGTCAGCTGCTTCTGCGAAGTTTCCTGGGCCCAGGCCTGAAGCTGCTCAATAAACGCTGGGTTTTCGTTGTTGTCCTCCACAGTCCGTGGTCTTCCCGGGCGTCGAACACTTGGGCGGCTGCGTGGTTGTCCGGTCTGCCCAGAAGATTGACGAGTAGTCCTTGGGGTGCTTCCGGAAGATTGGCGCGATGTCCTTGGATTGTCCTCGGAAGATTGGCGAGCCCTTGGAGTGTCCCCTCTGCTGGCGGTCACAATGTTGCGATTCCTTGATGTCATCGTAGACGGAGCTAGTTGAAGTGAATCGTAGAGTCGGTCGGTTGTTCGGTCGGTTTTTAGCCGGGCTTTTATAGGAGCTAGAAGGAGTTAGAAGTGCTGGTATATACTCGTAATCTTCAAGCTCCTATAAAAGCCCGGCTAAAAACCGACCGAACAACCGACCGACTCTACGATTCACTTCAACTAGCTCCGTCTACGATGACATCAAGGAATCGCAACATTGTGACCGCCAGCAGAGGGGACACTCCAAGGGCTCGCCAATCTTCCGAGGACAATCCAAGGACATCGCGCCAATCTTCCGGAAGCACCCCAAGGACTACTCGTCAATCTTCTGGGCAGACCGGACAACCACGCAGCCGCCCAAGTGTTCGACGCCCGGGAAGACCACGGACTGTGGAGGACAACAACGAAAACCCAGCGTTTATTGAGCAGCTTCAGGCCTGGGCCCAGGAAACTTCGCAGAAGCAGCTGACGGACTTGGAGTCCGAGTTCGAGCGCTTGCAGAGTCAGCCGCGACCGGAACCATCTCCTGAATTTGCACGGTGATTTTTTTCTTTATTGTTTTTAACGCAGAACTGTTTGTCTTTTGTAGCAACCCTACTCTAAACCGCTATCGGGACGTTATCTGTGTCGAGAACAACCGGGTCGCGCTGACAAACGGACGCTACATTCACGCCAATTGGATTGATAGCCATGGTGAAACTTGGCATGTTTTAAAAATAACAAAATTTCCATTTTTAAGGTGATCGTCGGTACATTTGTACACAGGGCCCGCTTCCGCAGACTGTCGGCGACTTCTGGGAGATGGTTCTGCAGGAGAAAGTTGAGGCGGTTGTTATGCTGTGTGACACCATCGAGCTCAATCGTCCCAAGTGTCATCAGTACTGGCCGAAGGATAATGCGCCGGAATCTGTTAGGCTCTTCTATTTAAGCATAAATAAAGGGGTTTTGATTTTCAGGCGATCACAAGTCGGGACGACAACATAAGAGTCCGTTTCGTGGATACCGAGGCACTGGACGACAACCATCTTATTCGGACGCGCCTTCAAATAACCAGCGACAATCCGAAGCGGCAGGCGAATGTTCGACACTTCCATTGGAGACGTTGGCCCGATCGTGGAGTGCCGATGAATCACCTTGCTGCGCTCCGACTGCTCTTCTACATCGGGAAATACAAGCCGATAGTAGTCCACTGCTCGGCAGGTGAACAACTACATAAACTTAATTTTTAACTAGCTTTTGTGACTTTAGGTATTGGCAGAACCGGGACCATCGTGATGATCTACTTGGCTCAGAATACGCTGCGCGCTGGACATCGTCTGGACTTCTACGAGTTGGTAGCAGAGTTGCGTCGTCAACGGGCAGGCAGTGTACAAACCTTGGACCAATACCTGTACATCTACAGCGTCTTTCTCCGGTAGGGGATAAAAAAACACACGTGTCAGCTTCTTACTTTCACTTTTCCCTTCCAGATACGCAAAGAACAAGGCTGATGCGGGCAGGATCAACGTGGACGTCGAAGCAGTCGAACGGCTGATACAAGCGATATCGAGACGGATCTACAAGCCGACGAGACGCTAGGACAGAGAGATATACTCTGCTGTGATATCGAATAGTGATATGCTTATTCATTGTTGTTGTATTTTGCTTGTGTATTTGCTTGTATATTGACCTCATAATTGTACATAGTATTGTTTCTCTTGAATGTAAATAAATATTTTTTTGTTCTTGTGTCCTTAAGTTTTATAAATTTGAAATAAGCGGTTGATTTTGTGGTCTGTAATTTTGTGGTGAAATTTTTAATTTTTCGAAGACTTGTAACTCGCGTGTTGGTATTAAAGCTGGACTGGGCTATAGCTACTTCTCATTAGGTTCGAATAACGTGAATGTTGTTCAAGTAACTGAGGTAAAATTCTTAAGCAGTGTCCTACTGTTAGTGGAGTATATGGAAGGTTAACAATAATTTCTAAAGTTTTCCAACTTTTAAGCTTTTGTTTATCAATTTTTTATCAAATTACATTTTGCCCCCCAAAAAACTGACTAATCACCTGAGGGAGCTAATTATGCATCCGTCACAAAAAAATATTAATATTGTGAGCCGTTCTAGTGTTTTCCAAATTTCATTGTCAAAAAGTCCGTTGACGTAATGTTCATTGACGTAAAATCCTTTTGACTTAAAGATGGTGAGCCTACCAAACGAATAATTACCAAAATGAAATAAAATTTTTCTCATTATTTCTTGATTTCTTTCAATCTCTAATATAATCTCTGAGTCTGAAGGATTTTTGAACTGAAGTAAATTGAGATTATCTGGATTTTAATTTTTTTTGTATTTACTTATTTTTTATAGTAGTATTAACAAAAAATGGTTGATATTGTTATTCCAAAAAGGAGAATTAAAAACAATGAATCTCCATTTGAAGATGAACAACCAAGCAAGAAACCTAAACTTGAGCCTACAAATAGTGTAGATAATGGAGAAGTTGATGCCCCTGTATGGTGTTTAAAAAAGGCACAAGAAGAGCAACCAAGTAGACATTGCCCTTATCTTGATACAATTGATAGGTTTTTAATTTTATTTTTTTAATTTAAAAATAATTTTTTAGAGGAGTACTTGATTTTGACTTTGAAAAGCTATGTTCAATCTCTCTTTCACACATTAATGTATATGCTTGTATGGTTTGTGGGAAATATTTTCAGGTAATTTTTAAATGGAATTTTTGAAACAAAAAAAACCGTTTAGGGCAGAGGAACAAATACTCACGCATATACACATTCACTCGACACAGATCATCGTATTTTTCTAAACTTGGCTACTTTGAAGTTTTATTGTCTTCCTGACAATTATGAAGTTATTGATCCATCTCTAGATGATATTAAAGTATTTTTTTATAAATATATTTTTAATCTAAATATTTTTCTAGTATGTATTAAAGCCAACCTACACTCCTAAACATATTAAATATATAGGGCAAAATACAAAAATGTCTCGTTGTTGGGATGGCACTCTTTACTATCCAGGCATTATTGGTCTAAACAACATCAAAGCTAATGACTACACAAATGTTATATTTCATGCATTTTCTCACGTTCCTCCTTTACGAGATTATTTTTTACGTGAAAGCAATTATTCTCACATCAAACGACCTCCTGGCGATAAATTGGCACTTTTGCCCCAACGTTTTGGTGAATTAATTAGAAAGTTATGGGATCCAAAAGCTTTTAAGGCGCATGTTTCTCCTCATGAAATGTTACAAGCTGTTGTTTTATGCAGTGACAAAAAGTTTCAAATTATTAGACAAGGTGAGTTTTTTAAATTCTATAAGATTTAAATAAGGAAAGTCTAACTTATTTAACCTAAGATTTAAAATTTTCTCTTTTTTAGGCGATGCAAATGAATTTTTGATGTGGTTTTTAAACACTTTACATATGGCATTAAATGGAACTGGCAAAACTTCCTCTTCAATTGTTTACCAAATTTTTCGAGGTCGAATGAGACAATACATGCGTAAAGTACTTCCTGTAGATGCTAGTGATGAATCAAGAAGAACACTTTCTGAAACTGAAGAATATAGAGAACAAGTTAAAGAACTTCCATTTTTATCTTTGGCGCTCGATTTACCTCCAGCTCCATTATATTTGGATGAAAGAATGCAAAATATAATTCCTCAAGTTCCGTTGGCACAATTATTGACTAAATTTAATGGAGTTACTGAAAAGGTTTTTTTTATTTCTAATAACCATTTTGGCACAACACAAAAATTAACAATTTTCCTTTAAAATCTTTCATATTATTAAAATAATCATTCAGTCAATTAAAATTTAATTTTTAGGAATATAAGACTTACAAAGACAATTTTATTAAACGTTTTGAACTTTTACATCTTCCTGAATATTTAATTATTACATATGATCGTTTTCACAAAAATCAATGGTTTATTGAGAAGAATCCAACAATTGTTAATTTTCCTATCAGGTTTTTTAAATAATAAAATAAAAAAAATTCTTTTTAGTAATGTCGATTTTTATGATTCTTTGGCTGAAGATGTTCGTGATAAACATAAATATACAACTTATGATTTAATTTCTAATGTTGTTCATGATGGAAAGCCTCAAACACAGGCAAATAAAGGAGACATTGCTGTTGATATTGGTCGATATAGAGTACAGTTAGTACACGAGGTAAACAATTTTCTGAAGTTTCTTTTTGGTTATTGTTGGATTTTTTGTGGATTTCCTTAAAATTTTTCTTGATGGGGAATTCCAAAATGTTTCCAATTTTTTAAAATAATTTTTCTACTCGATAGTTTTTATAGAATTTTAATTTTAGGGAACATCAAAATGGTTTGAATTGGAAGATTTGCATGTTAAAGAAATTCTTCCTCAAACAATTACCTTGGCTGAATCCTATATTCAAGTAAATTTTAATTGTTGAAATTAATAATTTTTAATTTAAAAAAAGATTTGGCGTTTAAATAGAAAAAAGACTAGAACAGAAAGAATGGGAGAAACAGAAGAAGAAATAAAAGCAGATACTTTATGGAAACAACAATCGACAAAAAATGAGAAAGGGGAAAATTTAGTTAAAACAGAAAAAAATGGAATGGAGATTTGATATTTTTTTGTTGTATAAAATTATTTTGAAAATAATTTCTATTGAAAAGTTTTTGGATATTTATTCCTTTTTTATTTAAAAATTTTTTTAACTAATTTTTTTCTTGATTATTTTTTAGGAAATTATTTTTATTAAATTAAGAGAAAATGAACGCTTCAAGTGAACTGGAAAATTACAAAATCCAACTTCAGCAGGTTTATATTTTTATTTTTTCATTATTGTAAGATATTGTCGTTTAATGTGCACGATAGAGCTGGAATTATTGCTGAAATATAACAAGGAAACTGAACTGTATGTAAAAATTTTGAAAGATTTTTTGCACCATCGTGTAGAGCAGGTCGATAACCTATTGCCAATTTTTGAAAAAAACCTAGAATGTTTTCTAAATTTTTAAATACAATTCGGAATGTTCCCTTGTAAGCTTATTTAACTTTGAACAGGCTATAAATATTCGCATGAATTTTTTTTAATTTTTAATTTTCAAATAGGTGGAAGCAGCTTTAATTGCTGAACCGGATAATGAAGAATTAATTAAACTTAAAGAAGATCTCAATGAAATAATTGTTCTTCAGCAGGAATTAGTAACAAATACACCTTCAGAAGTTTTAACTACAAGTAGTTCTAGTTTATCAAACAAAGAACGTTTAGTTTGGAAGGTAAGTAATCTGAGAAATTTTGAAAATTAATTTAAAAAAATAAAAGGTTGGTGACCGTTGTTTGGCAACAAGTAAAGGTGGACAAAAGCAGGTAGCTGTAATTGATGGAATTTCACAGGATAAAGTTGCTATTACTTTTGCAAGTAAATTTTAATTATTTTTTTAATGTTTAAGGACCTCGGGCGTTTTTATTTAATTAGGAAAATTTTGGTGAATTTAGTCATTGTTCTGTCCATTCTAATAATTTTCGAGTCGGGTTTTCGAGTCGGGCCGACGTTCATGTCGCTTTTTTCGGGCCAAAATTCGACGCCTGACTCGATCTTTCGGACCGGACCCCCAATCCTACTAGAGTAAGGATTTACAACAACTTTTAAATTTTTTGAATTATTCTGATGTCCTGAAATTATTTTTAAAAACATTTTTTATTTTAAAATTTAATTTTTTAAAAAAAGATTCTGGCAAAAAAGACATGGTTCGTCTATCGGATTTAAGTATAGCACCAATAGAAGAAAAAAAGAAATATATTTTCCAAACGGGAAAACAAAATGCTATGAAAAAAGAATGGCATTTGGAAAGAGAACGTCGAAAAGTTCGGGCACAGAAAAAAGAACAACGTCGGAAACAAATGGAAGAACAAAAGGAAGTTGAGAAAAATAAATGGAAAAATTTTAATGCAAGGGCTAATGCGAAGAATATGAAGGTGAAATTATAATTTTTGTTGAATTATAATTTTTTGAGGGGAATTAACTGAAACTTGAATACTTAATTAAGTCACGATTTAGGAAAACAAACAAAAACTTTAAAAATTCATTTTTAGGGTTTAAAACATATCGAAGCAACAGGTTCAGCAGCAGACGGACCTAAAGGTCAAAAAGGTCCACCACGTGGCCTCAGTTCTTTGGACGTTTCATCCCGTCGAAATACTCAAGCTTTTGGTGCGACCTCACGAGGAAATATGGAGTCCCTCTTTTAATTGGGAAGTGGGAAATTATTGACAGATTTTGTGGGGGGAGGGGTTTTGGAGATTTCTTTTATTGTCATTTAAAATTAAAAGTTCTGATTTGTATTTTATTTTCTGCTAGAATGAAGTGATTTATTTTAAATTATAATTGAATATTAAGTGAAGGATTTTTAAGTTTTTCCAGGAATTCTTAAATAATTTTTAAGTATCCCTTTTTTTGTGATTAAAAATAGGCATACCAATGTTTTCATTTAGAATTTACTAGATTTTATTTTCCAAAAATTAAAATATTTTTAAAAACTTAAATCCATACAATTAAAATTATTTAAAAAAGATTCATTTATTTAATACGGAGCTGCATATCCACCATTACCTCCATTATTATTTCCTCCATTTTTATTATTTCTTTGTTGTTGTTGTGAAGTGCCTGGAGGTACTATTGTTCGATGAAAGGATTCTGTAGTTGTTGTTACTTCATATGTTCTGTCTCTATTTTTTCTATGAGAAGTGCCGGCGGTTGGTGGGGATATTGTTGGGGCTGTTGGGACATCCTCTTCATAAACACTTTAAAGGAATAAATTTTCTTTTTAAATAATTTTAAAAAATCTCCACATACACATATTCTTCTTTAACTGACGGAGCGCGAACTCGTGGAAGACGAAACCAAGAAAAGAAAGGAGGTGGAGGTGCTTCTGGTTCTGGAGGAGGGGGAGGAGGTTGTGTTTGGGAACGATAAAATGTATAATAAATTTCTTGAAAGCGAAGAACACAATTACACTAAAATAAAAGGAAAAGGAATATTTTTTTAGAAATATTCTTTTTTACCAGAAAAATAGCAATAACAAAACCAATAATCCAACCAACCCAAATATCTCTAAAAAATGTTTTTTAATTTTTAATTATTTTTGAAATACCTCCAATGATTTTTATATCCATTAATTCTTGAAAATGAATCAACTAAAGCCATACCAAATAAACCAAAAATTAACTTTAAAATTATAAATTTTTTTTTCTAAATTTTTTTTGAAAAACCATAGGTCTTAATAAAGGAGCACCACGAAGATTAATCATATAATAGATATAACACTAAAAAATTAATTGAATAAATTAAGTATTTTAATATTTTACAGATGCAAAGCAAGCAGAATAACTGGAGAATGCTGCATGTAGTGAGGGAAATGTTAGCCAGGCATATCTCAATTCTGTTAAAAATATTTTTTTAAATTAAAAGATTGTTTGAGGCAATTAAAGTTTAAAATTTAGTTGAATATTTTTGGGGTATGTTGGAACTGGTGCCTATTTAAAAATAATTCGAATTTTGTAGGTTTTCCAAACAAAAGTCCATTTACCAAGTTTTACTTTTTCTCGCTTCTAATTAAATTTCCTTTAATTTCCCACTCCAATCCGAAGTTTGGAAAAGGTGGTTAATAGCCCCATCCCCTTGTTTTTTCAACTTCATAAGGAATTCTCGTTCTTTCTATGAAGTCCTAATTCTATTTAAGTTTCATTAAAATAATCTATTTATTACCATCTGCATTTCGATAATTACAAGCCAAATGTGGGGATGGAGAAGGTGAATGCTCTAATGGAGCTGTACATGAACTAAATAAATAAAACAATGTTTTACAAAAATTATTAGTAAAAATATACGCTAGCGAGACATTGCATAAAGAAAGAAAATATGGACGTTGATAACCAGTTAATAACTATTTGAAAGGAAAAAATAATTATTTTTTTAATTAAATTTAAAACTTTAATTGTGTCAACAAATATTTGCGTAACAAGGGCACCAAACATAAATATAGCTTTTTAAATTAATAAAAATTTTTCTTTTCTCAAAAAACATACAAATAAATCGAAATATTCTTCTTGTAATTAAAGCTATTTTACATTCCCCACAAGTTGCATAAACAACTTTTAAATTTAATTTTTAATTATAATTTAATTAATTTGTTAAATTTTACTTTTTCGAGGTTTTGTTGAGAAAAGCCTTTAATTTAAAATTAATTTAAAAAAATATTTATTTATTTTATTTACCAAAACATTAATTCACCAATGAGAATCTAAAAATATTTTAATTAAAAAAAATTCTCTTTTGTCCCTTACAACAATAGGAGGAATTAAAAAGGCAAGCAAATAAAGTAGTGGATAAGAGACATAAACCTTTAATTTAAAAGTTTATTTTTTAAAAATTAATTTAATTTGCCTCAAAATCTTCTGGTTGAAAATTTGGTTTAAATAAATTTACATCTCGACAATAAAAGACTCTGTGGTGATATCTGAGAATTTTATTAATTATTCGAGTAAAGAATATTTTTTTGGAATTTAAAAACAATAGAAAATTATTTTCCCTAAATTTAAAAAGTAGTGCTCCATCGGAACCGCAAAGTTGGCCGGAACCGAATCTAATTTTTTGTTCCGGGCTGGAACCAGAACCTCCGGCCTACCGGAACTGGAACTTCCGGTAAAGCTCTAGTAGAAAGTGTCTATCAATTAATTTTTATTTTAATTATTCTTGTCCTTTTACATTAGTTTTAGTATAAAAAGATTTTTTTTAAATAATTTAAAAAAAACTTACGGAAATACATTTGTAAGTCTTTAAGTAATAAAATAATTAATTATTAAATAAATTAATTAAATTACCTTAAATAATACCAAAGTGCCCATAAAGCAGCTAATCCAACAATATGAATTATAAAATTGGGTAAAAGAAAATAATTAATTTGAAATTTATTTGTAGTAGCAGATTCTGAATTGACCCCCAAATGGCTAACTGATCCAAATTGTTCGGACCATTGAGGAGATGGCATTTTTTTAAATTAAAAATTCTTTAATTTTAAATTAAATAAAAATTGAAAAAGAAGAAAAAAGCCCTTAAAGGAGGAGAGAGGGGGGCGGGTTTATAGGTGGGCCGTTGGAAAGGCACAAATGAAAGCCTGATATTCAAAACAGAATAATGGTAATCTATGTATCTAAACTTGTCTCTAAACTTTAATTAAAAGGTCAATAAAAATTAATTTTAAATCAAAATATTTTTTTTATTTTTTAAAATCAATTTTACCACAAAAAAGCGTTAAGTTAAAGTAAAAAGAACAATAAAAAATATAAAGTAGAACAATGAATATAGTAAAGGGATAAGACTTTGATTTTTTTAGTGAATTTAATGCGAGAGTAAGCAACACAAACACACAAAAGTGCTTTTGATGCTCTTAAAAACTGGTATTGGCCGTTAAAAGTTTTTGGGACAATTTTTATATAAATATTTATTATTATTTTTGTTAATATAAAAATATTATTTGAATTTATTTAAAAAAACAATAAATTTAAAAAATTATTTAAATTAAAATATTTTCCCATTGATTTTATAAAAATTTATTTATTTTTATTAGACTTGAGGGAGTAAAAGAAAAATGGCCATAGAGAGGAGAACAAACAAAAAGATTCTCGAACTTGTTATTTTTGTGATGGCTATTGATGTCCGATACTTTTAGAATGTTTGAGAACATTTTGACTACTTTAAGGCCATTCATATATATTTGCACAGAAAATATGAGGGGAAATAAATAGTAGTAGTAAATGTTTTTACTTGTATATATTTTTAGAGAATATATGTATAGTAGATAGGTATATATTTTTGGAAAGAAAGATTTTAGGAAAAAATAATCAACTAAATAATCATCTCTTTTTGTCAATCAAAAACAAATTTATGTTAACCAATTATCCGGATCAAAAAAGAAGACAAAAATTACTTTCTATAAGTTATCAAGACATAAAGGGAAGATTATAGGGTTAGTAAATTTAAAATTAAATATCCACTATGTAATTAAAGTAAGTACATACTATAGTAGTTTGTAAAAATATTTATAGAGAAAATTTTTTTAGATTTTATTTAGAAAAAATAAAAATATTTTTTTATTTAAATAAATTCACACATTTTTGTAAAATAAATAAATTAAAATTACCTACGTATATTTTTGTGAAATTATCAAAAAAGATAATTTAAAAATCAAAATCCCCAACATCATTCTCCTCCTCTTCATCTTCTTCTTCATTAATTTCATAACAAAATCCATCATTTTCTTCCTCTCCTTCTTTCCCTCCACCTCCTCCTCCTTCTTCATCATCAAAAAATGAAGAAATTGAATAAAATGAATTAAAAGAATTATTTAAAGAATTATTATTTTGAAATTCTTCTTTAATTAAATTATTATCTTCAAAAAGTTGTTCGGTCATTTTAATTAAATCTTCTTCATTTGTTGTTGCTGATAAATCTTCATTTTTTTGTAAAAAAGAAAAATTTGTTGGTGTAGAATTTTCACAAATTTTAAATTTAAATAAACGATTGGAAGAAAGACTTAATTTTTCTAATAATTCTGCTTGACTATAATTAACACAAATTGAAGAAATACGTGGAAGTAATGAAAGTAATCTTTGAAAAAAAGATAAATATTTTTTAAAGAATTAGAATTGGTGGCAGAATTTTTGTCAACAATTTTGATCCGAAAAAATTGGAAGATTCTCTGTCCCTATTCATCTTCAAAAGAACATTCCCCCAAATTCCTCCTTACTTCCCAAAATTTAATATATATTTTTTAAATCTTCTTCTTCATTAAGAAGAAGATTAATAAAACCTCCAGTAGATGGTCGATATAATTTAAAATATTGACTCACAAAATAGACATATCCGAAGTTCTCCCAATTGGATATAAAGCAGATATTCTCGATTTTATTTCCATTCTTTGCATTCTCAAATCATAAAGACGAGGCTTTTCAAATTGATAAAAACGCCATTTTTGTTTATCTAAATTTTATTTAAAAAATTAAAAAAAAACAAAACCTCCAGTAGATGGTCGATAATTGTGAAAAAGTGATGCCCGAACAGATAACTAAAATTTAGTAATTTTATTTTAAAAATTCCCAAAAACTCAACATCAATCATATATTTTTCCATTTGATTTCTTTGTTCATAATTACTTGAAATAAGCACATCTAATTTGGAAATAATTTGTTGAATTTTAGAAATTGATTTAATTGATGGGCCAAAACGAGGTTCGTGTTCAAATAAATAAGAAGATAACTAAAATTTAATTTTTAAATGAAAAGAGAGTAATTTAGAAAAATTAGTCCAAAATAATAATCAAGGTTTTGTTTATTATTTATTTATATTTTCAAAATCAAAAAAAATTGAGTCAATTTACTAACAATAAAAATATTAGAAAAAAATTTTTTTCTAAAAATATTTGTTAAAATTGCTTTATATATCCAAAAAATGACATGAATTACAAAAAAAAAATTCTTCAATTTTTGATGTTTTAAGATAAAAGTTTAAAGAATAATGTTAAATATTTAGGTAGATTTTTTTATTTGAAAAAATTAATTAAATTCAAACCAATTGTGGAGATATTGGAGATGTTTCAATTAATTTATTTAAATCATCTTTTGGAGGTAATGGACGTCCATAAATTCTTTTTAAATTAAAATTTAATTTAGATTCATTCTCCAACCATTTTTCTGTTGGCTTTTCAGCCCTTTTTGCATACATTATTTTTCCAATAAAATGAAATAATTCTAATTGATCTGAAGCAAAATGAGAAGAAAAGAAGGAAATTAAAGGTTGTTGAGAATTATTATTTGATAATTTTTCTAATCTTGGACGTTTTGCCGAATTTCCTTCAATTATTTTGGAATTTTGTTGTCTATAATGTAAAAGTAATAAATTCATTGCGCGTCTAATATCCCCTAAAAAAAATTAAAATATCATTCTAAAAAATTTCTGTTGAATTAGAAAAGGAAATTCTATTTTTCTAAATTCGTGGTAAAAATTTAAAATATAAATATTAGTTAAAATTCCTCATAAATCATTTAAAATTTACAAAAAAACAAGAAATTCACCATTGGAAGAATTAGCAATATTTTTAACATCAATTCCTTGTTGTGAATTACAAAGTTTTTTGGAAGCTCTTTGAAGGGCATTATTTAAAAGGGAAATTGAAATTGGATTAAATTTAATATGTTCAATTCCTAACACATCCAAAATTGATTGAGGAAAACTTTAAAACTAATTAAAAAATCAAATTTGAATTTTTACATTCTAAAAGGGCTAAGAGACCAACAAGAATCCACATTTGGAAGTACAAAAACAATTATACATCGAGAAAGGGAAATTTTGTTAGCCAATAATTGATGTAAAAGTTTTGGTTCACTAAAATAAAGTAATTTAAAAATATTTTAAAATTTATTTAAAGCCAAAAAATTCAAAGAAAAATTTTTTCGGTACTGGATCAAAAAATTAAAAAAACTTTAAAACAAACTTTAAAAATTCGCTAGGCAATTGACTAATAAGTAATAATCGATGTTTTAAAGACATTCGTTGAATTGAACTAAATTGTGTATCATTCAAGAATTGTGCAAATCCTTCAGCGGAGAAAGAACGTCTTCGATTATTATTTAAATTATTACAATCATCAGTCCAATCCCATTCTGTTACTTCAATTCCAAGTTCTGCCGCAATAACCCTTACTGCTGTCCTTTTTCCAGAACCACTAGGGCCTGTCAACAATAAAGTTTTTGAACCCTTAAAAATAAATTTTTGAGAAAAAAGTTAAATAAATTTATCATAAAAATACCAACTCGACAAATGCCCATTTTTGATCTAAACCATTGTTTTAACTATAAAAAAATGTTTAAAAAAATTTACTAAATTTAAAAAAACAATGAAAATAAATTTTAAAAAAAACCTCATCAAGTTTCTTTGGGTGGAGAGCAAGTTCTTCCTCAGAATTAGGAACAATACAATCCAAACCATTCAAGACACGGCTCCTTCTTTTAATAGGCTTCTTTTGTTGAAATGGATTAGAGAAAAAGACAGCCATTAAAATTTATAGAAGTTTTTAAAATCTGAACTTTCAATTAAAAGATAAGAGAAAAATTTCAAAAATCGTGAAAAAAACATTCCGGAAATTTTAAATTTTATTTAAGCTAATTTTTTAATTTTTTTGGCATTATGTATTTAAACTATCCGTTTTGTCACAATTAAAAGTGGTCATCCTTCTAAAACTTGCAAATTTGGGTAAACGTCAATTTAATTGATTTATAAATTTATTTTCCAACGTTTTAGATTTTCATCTTTCTTATTTCCAGATTATTAAAAAGATTTATCAAAATGACTGATGTTATGCGTGAAATGATAGCTCAGGTTTTTCTATTTTTAAATTTATTTAATTTTATTTTTTAGCTGATGGGCCAGCAAAGGGCTGAAGAAGAAGGACGTAAACTGCCACCTTTTGACCATCATTCAGTTTGTCGTTCTTATTTACAAGGTTGTTGTCCGAGAGAATTACTGTCGGATACAAGGCTTGAATCAATGATGTCTTGTCGAAAAATGCATGAACCGGCACATAAGGGAGAATATAATAAAGCACAAGAGAAAAGGGATTTGTTCTACGACGTTGAGGTAGGCATTAAATAAGGAGATAGGTTGAGAAATTATTGACCCATTTTTGTGATTCGAGGTGTTTCCCTTAGGCAAATCAGGATTTGACATTGCTGACGGGTAAGAAAAATTTAATTTTATAGCAAACTGAAATCAAGGGAGAGACAAGTGTTGTTGACATTTTCCTCAATCACACAAAGCATTTAGTGTGTCTGTATGTCAATTTTGTTTTTTGCGGCGCTCTAGCCTTTAAATGGGTCCGAATCATTAAATAAATTTTAGGCCTACGAAGAGCTCGAGGACGCAATTTGTATTGTGGATCAGGAAATTCGAAGACTTCAGGATAAAGTAAAAAGAGATGCTGAAAATAATTTAGACCTTACTGAGCAACATCGAGTTCGTTTATTTACTTTATTTACGTGAAACGATTTTTTAACTTTCAGACCCAAAAGATATTTGAAGTAAACGAGCAAATTGGAGTTGCTTTAGTCCAAATTGAGGCTCTCGGTAATGAAGGGCGTATAAACGAATCAGTCGAGTTATCGAGGAAGGTGGACGAATTGAAGAAAAGAAAACGGGAGCTTGACGTAAAATTTAAAATTTTATCAAAATATTTCTTTAAAAATTAAGACTGAAATGAAAGGGATACATCCATCTATGCTGCAGCGTTTGCGTGTTTGTGAAACTTGTAGCGCTCAGTTGAACGTTATGGATCATGAAACTCGTTTGCAAGATCATTATGGAGGAAAAATGCATTTGGGTATGGTAGAAATTCGTGAAAAATATGCAGAAATGAAGGTTGAAGTTGAAAAATGATTTACTTTTAATTTTTTATTTAAATAAATCTCTTTGATTTTAAGAATTCAATTGATGAGCGTCGTACTTTAAAAAAGCTTGCTGAGGAGAAGGAACGCAGTGAACGTCGTAATCAACGAGGGCGAAGTCGTAGTCGTGAACGAAAGCGTTCTCGTTCACGCGAGAAAAAGTCTCATCGAAGTCGAAGGTATTCTTATTTAACTTTGATTGAAATTTTTCATTAATTTCTTAGCCGTTCAAAGTCTAAGAGTCGTTCGCATAAAGAACGTCGTCGTTCGCGTTCCCGCGAGCGGAAATCGTCTCGTCGTGATTCGAGTCGTGAACGGTTTGTTTTATTTTTATAGACTTTGTTTATTATTTTCTAATAGCCGCCGACATTGATTTTTGTATCGATGAAAATATTTTGATTATATGATTTGATGTTTAGACAGAGAGATTATAAACGATTTTCCATTTATTTTTCATTTAAATTTTTTCGATATTTGATGGTAAAATTGTCGAGTTATTTTTAACTTTTGATAAATTTTCAAAATGTATCCTTAATACTTCTGAAAAATATTCTGTTTAATATTAACTGGAATTTTATTTTAACTTGAATTTTTTCAAAATGTACTAAAGTTAAAGTTATGGCAGCAGAGCAGGGTCAATTACGATCAAGAAAAGGTGTTGTGAGGCCTACAGAATATTTAAACTCAGAATTTAAGGATGGATTAATTAGTGAAAATGAGCAAAAGAAGATTCCATATCAACTTTTGGTTTGTTCTTTTCATTAAATATTCGTCTTCATTAAGTAAATATTACATTAAGTCTGGTCAGCTTGGTTTCTTTCATTGGTTATTTGTATTTGCGATGTTAGCTTCATTATATGGACTTGGTTTGTTATTGTTTTATTTTCAAAATTATATTTTAAGTTGTTTTGCTTGATCTCAAAATGCCTGATGTCAAGCCAGCGAATCAATATGAACATTTTTCTGAAATGCGTGCCCGTCAATTTCTATCTCAAATAGCAAGTCTTGGGCCAAGACCGAGTGGTTCTGAGGCATTGGAGGTTTTTAAATTTTTTTAAACTTTTAGAATTTATTTTTAGATTCATGCTTTTCGAATTATTACAGAGAAAATTAATTCTTTGAAGGATGTTGTTAACTGGAATGATGTTAATAGAATTGTATGTTCTTTAAAGTATTTTGGTTTTTAAATAATGTTCATGAGATATCGGGGTCCTTGTTAAATGATTGTTGGATAATTGGCAAAAATGTTGATAGGGCCTATAACCTTTAAATAAATTAACCTCAGTTTTGAGCTTCGGACGATAATTTTATTTCATCTAGTTAATATCTCCTTTAGGAAATGGATATTCAAAGGCCAACTGGTTGTTATGACCTCAAATTTTTGTCTGTATTTACTCTTTGTTATCATAAAGTTACAAATATTGTTGCCAGAATCGGCCCAAAGAAAGGACCCACAGATTTTTCAATTTTAATTAATTGTCATTTTGATACTTTACCTGACACTCCCGGTGCAACAGATAATGCCGTTTCTTGTGCTATTATGATGGAAATTTTGGAAGTTTTTGCACACTTAAATGAGCCTTTAGAACATGACATTCTTTTCCTTTTTAATGGAGGTTTTTTTAATTATTTTTAAAAAATATTTTTTTAACTTTAGCCGAAGAGAATTTCCTTCAGGCATCTCATGGTTTTATTGTCAATCACCCTTGGCGACATTCTTTGAGAGCTTTTATTAATTTAGAAGGATGTGGTTCTGGTGGAAGAGAATTACTTTTTCAAGTTTTTTTCTTCTTTTTATTTTAATTTTTTTTAAAGACTGGACCGGGGGAGTCATGGCTAATCAAAACTTATTTGGATAATGCTCCACATCCGCATTGCAATGTTCTTGGACAAGAAATTTTTCAGTTGGGGATAATTCCGTCTGACACTGACTTTCGGATTTTTCGTGATTATGGAAAGATTTCTGGTTTGTATGAAATATTTTTTATTTGAAAATTTAAAATATTTAAGGTTTTGACATTGCCTATATTCGAAATGGTTGGGTTTATCACACAGAATTTGATCGTCCAGAATTGATTGATATTGGTGCAATTCAACGCTCTGGGGACAATATTTTGGCTTTGAGTCGAGCATTAATTCGTTCTCCTTATTTAAAACAACCGGCAAATTTTAATGAGGGAACAAAATGGGTTTTCTTGGATGTCGTTGGCTTGTTTACTATTTTTTATGAAATGAAATTAGGTGAATATTTAGTTTAAATTTAGATTAGAGCTACGGATAGCTTAAGTTGCGGGGATTGGAATTTAGGTGATAGAACTTTACCTGAATGATAGGATAACAAGAATTGACTGAAGTCTTCTGAATCGTATTTTTGACAACTTACCAATTTATAATGTGAGAGATACAAATCCCCTTTTTGACCGTGTCCGACTAACTCACGGACCATACCAACTCAAGAAACAGACAAGTCAAAAAACGACCAAATCATGGAATATTTTAAAAATTGGAATTTTTGAAAAATATAAAAATATGGATATTTAAAAAAAGAATTTAAAAAATTAGAATACTTTAAAAACAGAATTTAAAAAATTCTGAAAAATTCAGATTTTTAAAATATTCCATGAGTTGGTCATTCCTTGAGTTGCTCCTCGTTCTTTTTGATTAGAACCTTAATTTATTTTTTTAATAAAAATTATTTATTTAAGCTCTTATCTTCAATTATACTGTGTTGGTGTTAGTTTTAATTCGAATCTATTTACATCTTTTTCGTAACGGGGATTATTCTATTAATGTTTTGTTGCGTGCTTCTACGAATCAATTTATGGCTTTTGGAGCTATGTTATTTATTGGGATTTGTTTAGTTTTAATTATTAGTCTATTAAATATGACAATGAGTTGGTATTCAATGCCTGAATTAGTATTTCCATTATATATTGTGCCAATGATGACTGCAGCTTTTTTTGCACATGCTCGTTCAGCTGGGAAAATGGAATTGGTAATTTTGTTTATTTTTAATTTTAAATTTAATTATTATTGGATTGAAATTAAATTATTAATTTTTAATTATTTAATGGTTCTAAAATTAACTAAAATATTAAAATCCCAAAATTTAATTTTAAGGATATGGCTATGAAATTCGAAAAAGCACATTTTGATTCTACAATAATTTTTTGGTCTATAGTTCTTTTTATACTTACTTGGATTCATTCAGCTAGTTCTTATTTATTTATGTTTCATGTTTTATTTCCACTCATTCGTGATCCTTTATTGTCAATTTCTAAAATTTTTGGATTTATTAAAGGTTTTTTTAAATTAATTTTAAATATTTTTAATTTTATTTTTTAAAGTTATAACACCAAAATCACTTTTTTGGGCTCAATCAATTTGTTTAACTCCTTTAATTATTTTAATTAGTACATATACACAACTACTTTTTGACTTTTTTGTCCCAGTAATGGGCCGTTTTGGAAATACGATTAATCCAGAAATTTTTATAATGTCTTTTTCTTTGTTGGTTTCGCTTACTTTTGTGCTTTTTACGGTTAAATTATTTTTATTTTTGTAAAAATATTTTTTTAGAATAATTTAATTTATGTAAGTCGCCGACTTGGTTTTATGGTAAAATGTATGATTGCTGTTTCTCTTTTTTGTTTTTTAATCATTTCAACAACAAATGTTGGTGTTCCTTATAAATATTCAAAAGAATCTCCTCGTCTTCGACGTGTTATTGCTTTGGTTTTTTTTTAAATTAAATTAAAATTTTTTAAAATTATTTTTAAAGCACGCAAAGAAAAGTGTTTTTAAATTTGATGGAAATTTACTTAATTCTGAAACTGGTTTATTTGTACAGGCATTGGATTATAGAGGGGCTGATGATTTGCCTGAACATACTTTTTTACAAGGTATACTTTAAGTGAATTCAAATTAAAGTTAGGTTTCCGCATGTATTCAGCTCGTAAACTTGCGAACTCAAAATTTTTCGAAAAATTTTTTTAAGGTGTTGGGAAGCCTGACTGTTCAAATACAACCGATGAATATTGTCAAATGCCCTATTATACTGCAATTCATCAACTCTTCCCTCCCGATCGTTCTCGATGGGTGCCACTACCAACAGAACCTCCAATAGCTCGACCTTTAAATGTGAAATTGTTGGAGCGAAAATTTCTTTCAAATAATATGCTTAATTTAACAATTGCTATCTTTGGAGGGGCAGACAAAGCATCTTTACATATAACCCCACTTGATGGTTTTCAAATGAGAAATTGGTCATTAACAGCATTTAATCCAAAAACATATAGTAATCGACCGCATGCAACTTATTTTGTATTTATGACATACGGATATGAGGCGCCAAAAGAAAGAATTATTTGGATTTTGCTTGAAAAAAATGGAGGAAAGAAATTAACTTTAACTGATATTGGAAAAGAACCAGCACTTGAATTAGCAGTAGCAACACATTATGTTCATGGTAAGATAAGGGGATAAGAATTTGAGTCGTGAATAATATTTCGACAGTCGGAGAATTTCCTTAAGTTATTTAGGTTAGCGACGTTAAAATTAGGTGGTGGCTATTCGTAAACGAGTGTGAGAGCACCCCTCCATATTTTACAAAATATTAAAAATAAAATTAAATAGGAGCCAATCAAAATTCGGATACTCTTCATCAGCTACGCTCTTTAATTGCCAATCGAAGAGAGAAGCCACATGCTGGAGTTGGCTTTTGGCGTTGGGGAATTACACTGACTGCTGGCGTTTCTGAAATTGTTGTTCATTCCTTTTAATTGCCAAATGATTCGTAAAATATTTTTTAGTTTATTTTTCTATTTATTCCTATTGAATTGAAATTAAAGTCGGAAGGAATTTTCCAAATTAATTTACCTTTCTTTTTCACTATCATAAAAATGCAAATGAATTTTACATCGTCCAATAATTTCATTAAAAACATCAAATTCCGACATTAATTTTTACTTCTCAAATGGTCAGTATTAGACAATCTGTACTTTATCTTTATTTAATCTAAATTAAATTCACATTAAATTTGTTTGTTCATTATACGACATTCACAGCTCCAAATATCTTATTCTAAATCTCAATCTATTTAATGTATTTGTTAGTTTTAAATCCTGCTGTTTATATAACTTTCAAATAAAGACCTTTTAAGCATCCTTTGTAAGATTTTTCTGTCAAAAACTATACCAACGTCAGTTTAGGATTCCCAGTGATATGCTTAAAGGTCTTTTATAAAACATTCTAGTTGTGATTTAATAAACTGGTAATTACTTTTTTAATGTCTTATTTATAGGACCATAGAGTGAAAAAAATGAAGAAAAATGGAACAATCGAACCTTTAAAAGAGGGCCTGTCAACAAAATGCCTTCACTTAAATAAAATTTTTAATCCACTATTACCTTGTAGATTATAACAAAAAAAAACAACAAAAAGTAACATTTATTTAAATAACCAAATTATCTTCATCAATGGTCAAATTTGCCGCATAATCATAAATTTCAGCATTAATTTGCACAACTCTGGCTAATTCCCTTTCTAATATTTTTATTCTCTGTTTTAATTGTTCAACATTTGTTGTAGATTCAATTGAAGATACGTCAGCACTTTCCACATTTTCTTCCTCTTTAAGTGAATTTTCTGTTGGTGTCAATGTTGTTGTTAACTCATTTTCTATTTGACGTCTCTTCCTTTTATTTTTATTCTAAAATTATTTTTCCTTTAAAAAATATTTAAATAAACCCCTTACATTTAAATAAATATCTTGTTGTTGTTGAATATTATCTTTTGATGTACCCTCAACAGATGATTGAAATTCACAACGCAAAGCACTAGCGTTTACATTTCGAAGTAATTTATCAAAATGTTCTTGTAAACTTTTCTGTTTAAAAATTATATTTTAATTTATTTAAATTTAATTACCTCACAATCAACTTTTTTGGGATTTCCCTGTTTTACTGCAAAATTTGATTTTGCTCCAGTAGACATTTGCTTGTTTAGAGGTGGTAAAGAAGTTCCAGCAGCAGAGAGATTCTCCAAAATAAAAGATAAAACAATAATGGGTCCTGAAAAAAGTATAAATAAAAATAACACGAGAGACTCGAATCCTTAACCTAAATATTAGTCAACGACCTAAAGAAAAACTAACAACGCCTACTTTTTCGAAGTAACTTATTCCAAATAACTTATAAAATTTCAAAACCTTTCATTTGTCCGTTCTGTAAAAGCTGCCCGTTTGTCACATCCCAAATAGCATAAGCACCCAAAATGTCTCCAGAAGCAAGTCTACTTCCATCTAAATTTGTACATAATTGTTGTACTCGACAATTGTGAAATTGAAATGAATTTTCATTATTGTTATCTTTTTGTTCATTTTCGACTTTCATTCTTTGGAAGCTGTCTTTGGGAAGCTGAAAAATTAAAAATTTTTTTATTTACATGATAATTTTTGAAAAAGGATTAACGAGTTAATGAGGTATAATAGAATATGACTAAATTTTCATTCGGTAAAACATATCAGTATTTCAAATAAAAAGTTATCCATAATTTAATTAATATAAAGTTATAAAACCTCAGATTGCATCAAATCAATTGTTCTAATCTGACCGTCAAATGATGCCAAAAATAACCTCCTTTCGGCCCCATCCATACAACAAGCACTTAAAGGATGATCACAAGTAATTTTTAAAAGAATTTGATTTGTAGCCAAAGAATAAAGACACGCACTATAATCAATAGAAACAGAAAATATGCGTGCAGACATTCCAGAGGAAGTAATATACAAATCGTTAACTTCGAAAGTATGGCTTGAATGACCGCCTAATTGTGGACTGATACGAGAACCTTCATTGTGATGAGTAATTAAACTAACAATAAAATGTTCTTTACAATTTAGACAAAAGATTAAAAAAACCTAGAAGTTAGCCAAACCTTCACCGCCCCATCCATTGAAGCACTAGCCAATAAACTACCACAAGAAGAAATTCGAAAAGCAGAAATTTCACGCAGATGTTCGTCAATTATAGAAAGCATATTTCCACCTTTAAGCTATAAATTAATTTTTAAAATTTTAAAAATAAAAAACAAACCTCCCAAGTATAAATTTTGTTGTCAGCCGCAACAAAAATAAAATCACCAGAAGGATGAGAAACAATAAAATTAGCTTTAAAACCAAGAAAAGATCGTGTAGAATTAGCAGCTAAAGTTTTCTTTGATTTTTTATATTTCATTGGAATTGTCATTAATGATTTATCTTCCAAAGAAATAAATAAATGTGTCTGGTCTTGACCTGAAAATTATTTTAAAAATAAATTTAAACAAACATAAAAAAATTAACCAATAAATGCTGCAGAATTTATTGTTCCATTTTGAAGCTCATTCCCTTGAAAAGCCAAACAATTAGCTCCAGAAACTGGATCTATAGTCAAAATAGAGAAAGGTTCATTTGACTGTGCACAAACAAAAAGTGCCTAAAAATTCTTAAATTAATTGATAAAATAACAAAAAATTAACCTCCTTATTCATATTTAAAAGTAATAAAATTTGCAAATAATGCAATAAATCTAAAAATTAAATTTAAATCAAAATTTTAATTCATAAACGATGGAAATTAGATATCGGAACGGTCCCGGTTTCCCCGATCAGGGTCCCTCCCCGGTCAACTTTCAGAACCCGTTTCCCGGACCCGGTTTTTTCAAAATTCCGATCTCTAATTTAAATGTTTATTTAAAAATCAAATATTTCTGGAACTAATCCAAATATTCGCAAAAAACGTAAAAATATACTGTTGTAGCAAATTAGCCAAAGTTTATAAAAATCTCAAGCTTTAACCAAGTCAAAATAAATGCAAATAAATTATGCGAAAATAATTTAATTGGGAAAGTCAATGAAAAAATTTGAAATATTTTCTAAAAATATTTATTTCTCCAATAAATCAACAACTTTATTTTCGTCTTTCCAGATTCTACTCCTTCATAATTGTAATTCTAACATAGAAACTCTCTTCATTACAAAACGAGAATTTAACCGTTGGATCGTGAATGTTGACAACTTGATAAGTAGTAGATTTCTTATCATTTAATTTCTTAATTTCAACATTTGTCGCTTTGTCGTGTAATTTAAGGCTTTTGCAAAGAGAGAAATCAAAAATTATGATAGCTACCATTTTCGAAACGTCTTTAGAGGTTGCCACATACTGAAAATTTTGAATTTTATTTTTAACTCTGAGGTAGTCTACCCATGGAGACCTACACTCTAAAGATCTATAATTTTTGAAAGGGAAATATAGCATAGAGCCAAGTGCTTATCCCGGTACTAATGTGCGTTTCCCTCACCAGTGTTTTTTTTTTCGTGGTATACAAAATGGTCAGATTTTTTCCAGATAGGGCCGAATGAAGCTTCAAATAGAATAATTCGTTAGATTTTTGCAAGGGAGAAAAGTCTGACAAGTTTGTTCATAAAAAGTGACCGGGTGAGGGAAACTGCATAAGTTCCTTTATCCCCTCTAAATCCCTCGATATTCCCTTTCAAAATTTGAGGATTTTCAAGGGGTGTAGGTATTCAGGGTTGGCCCCAGTTAGATAACTCACTTCAACAATATGATTATAAACATTTTTGTAGAATCCTGGAGTACAATGGAACATCACATTAACCTTTCCGAATTTGTCTCCTCCATTTAATAAAATTTTAAACAAATCATCTTTATATTTCTTCATAGTGTCATCACCCATTGGTTGAAAAGAAATTCGATGATATTCACTTGCCAGATTATTCAAAATCAATCTCATTAAAATTCCAATATTGCGGTTTTGAATAGAGATATTGCAATTTTGAACGTAAAATTGTTTAGCCTCCCCAAATAATAATTCAATCAATTCTGGATTGATTATATAGTCTTCAAAGTAGGAGCATTTGAATGAGCACTTAAACAACTTATTCAAATAATGATAAACAATTTGAATGTCCTCTTTGCTTTTAATAATTGGTGGGAGTCGAAGTACATATTCTTCACTTTTGTCAACTAAAAATTTCTTATGTTAAAAGAAAATTTAAAAGCTATCGGAATAGGGTAAACCAAAAACAGTTCCCGTATGCATGAACAAACAAAACACATGCGCCAAAAAAAACCCCAACCATTTGGCCGAGTTTAAAAAAATAGAATTTTCTCTTTACCCAAAGTTTTACCCATTTTTTAAACAAAATTAAACCTTTCTCCAAGTAGATATCAATTTCGCCTGTACCATGACCAGATAAAAACAAAGGAATTGGCTTTTTAAATCCATTTTTGAACTAAAAAGAAAAGAAACAATAAATCAAACCCAGGAAAAGGCCCAGGGTTTCCAAAAATCTCGATCTCTAATAAAACTCCAAACCAGGAAATTTGATGTTTAAAAATTTAAAAACCTTCTCTTCAATTTCCTTGGTCTTTGGAAAGTCAAAATCTTCAGCCTTTGTGTTAATCAATTTACGAGGAATTCCATTGAATCCACCAATATCACCCTAAAAAGAAAATTTTTCTTCAAAATTAATTTAAAAAGCAATTACCAGACAAATCATAGTGAACTTCTCCTTAGCAAGTTCCACCTCATATTGATTAACAAAGTTGAGCAGATAAACATTTGTTTGTTTGAATGCCAATAATTGTTGATAGCTGAGACATTTAAAGATGTCAAGCTTCGTTTCAGAAGACAAAGAACAAAGCATTTTTTTGGAAGCAAATTTAAATAAAATACTAGAAAATTTTAAAAACGTTTAAGAGTTTTTAGATTATTTAAGTATGTAAAAATAAATTGTCTTTAAACAGCTGAAAAATGAGCAGAATAATGAATTCCGGTCCGGGTCCCTTCCGGTCAACTTTCAGAACCAGTTTCCCGGTCCCGGTTTTTTCAAAATTTCGATCTCTAATGGAAATAAAAGGCAAGACTCAATTATCCCAATAATTACCAAAATGAAAAAATTAAGTGTGTTTACATTTTGTAAAATATAAAACAATATTTTCAAAATACATACAACTCAGAATATTTTCAAAACATAAAAATTAGGATTGTCCAAAAGAAAATTAGTCATAAGAACAGATAGATAATTTTAATTATTTTAGTAAATGATGTCTTCGATTCGCAAAAAACTTCTGGTAACAAGAGGGGATATCACAAAATTAGCTGTTGATGTTATCGTTAATGCTGCAAATTCGTCCCTACTTGGAGGTTTCATTCTTAAATTCCTTAATTTAAATTTTATAAAAAGGTGGGGGAGTAGATGGTGCTATACATGCTGCAGCTGGTCCAGAATTATTAGAAGAATGTAAACAACTTAATGGGTGTAAAACTGGCGAAGTTAAGATGACTAAAGCTTATAATATTAAAGACGTTAAAGGTTTATTTTTAAGGGCTTTTTTGTCTTTATCAATTTATTTTTAGCAATTATTCACACTGTTGGTCCAATTATTAATTTGGGGGTTAGTGATTCGGATAAACAACTTCTCAGTAATTGCTATAAGAATTCGATGGATCTGACACATCAAAATAAATTAAAGAGCATTGTAAAACAAATATTTTATCTAAAAACATTTTAAATTATTTTAGGCATTCCCTTGCATTTCTACTGGTATTTATCACTTTCCGAAAGATGAAGCTTGTCAAATTGCGTTGACAACTATTGTAATGTTTTTAAAAATAATTTTAGATTTTTTTTTGAATTTTTAGAAGAATTGGTTCAAAGAAAATGAAGATTCTTCAATTGACAAAATTATCTTTTGCGTGTTCAACGAGCAAGACGAGGAAATTTATAAGGAAAATATTCCTGTTATTATTGGAGAATAAATAGAAATTAGAGGACAAAAGTATGGTTAAAGTTACTTAATTTATTTTTAGATTGTATCCAAATTGGATTTTATTTTGGTATTCTATAATTTATTTAATTATAATTTTGCAATTTTTGATATAAATAATTAAAGATATTTTGTTAAAATACAAAATTTAAAACCAAATATCCCGTATATTCTAAAAATCATCTAAATACGTCTCTTCAATATTTTCATCACAAACTTCATTTGCTTGCAAAAATGTAAGGGCAGAATTTAATGAATACATTAAACGTTTGAATTCTTCCAATTGTTCATTAAGTTGGCTTTGTTTGAGTGCTAAAAGTCTTGCCAAAGATTCATCTTTTGCTTTTAAAGCTAATTTCTGTTCATTTTTGCATTTAATTACTTCAGAATGAATTTTGTTAAATACAGAGTCAAACCAATTAAGTGAATTGAAAAAGAATTGTTGATTAAGTAAAGTAAGCACATAGGCAATACCTGAAGATAAAAAAGAATTATGAATCTTATTAATTAAAAACAAGGAGACTACTTGCCTAATTGTTTATTAACTTATTGTACGCTTATCAGTCTTCATTATCAGCTTAACAAAAATCTAATGAGTAAGACTAATGAATGTTTTTGAGACAATAGTCAGCTACCTCTACTAAATAAATATTTAAAAAATACCAATACTAAATCCATCTTCAACAAAAATAAATTGTTCATTAAAACTTCCAGCAACAGCCAAATCTTCATTCAATGACATCTTTTTGTTACTTAAACGAGCTCTACATTTAGAAATATATTCAATTTGGACAATCATAAGTGTTGGAATTAAAATAAAAAAATCTCTTAAATGAGCAAATTTATTATTTCCTCGAAATTCTTTGGCAAACATTGAAGTTAAAAGCTTAAAAAAATATTTTAATTCTTAAAAAATATTTAAAAACCTCAATAGAATCATTATTTGAAGTTAAATAACCAGTAATATTTGAAGATATTTTATCACACAATTTTGCACAATTATTTTGAATTGAATTTTTGTCAAAATTATTTATTAAATCAGACATTGATTCTTTATGCTTAAATCCAAAGGTTATATTTGGTGCAAAAGTTTCCAAAATCCCCGAACGAAACATGCGTAAAAGGCCAATCATATTTCCTATTCTGAAGAAATATTTTTTTATTTATTTTATCTGTCATAATTGAACATCCTTATAGTAGTCCGATAAAACTCTTCTCCCAGTCCTCTACATTCTGGATATGGTCCCAGCACAACTTTGCCACTATTTGGAGAACATGAAGGAGGTCTATGCTTTTTCATAGTAGTTTTACTATTAGTGGTTTTTGGATTGATGGAACACCATTAATGTTCAAATTCTTATTTTTAATTATTAAAATATTAAATAACAAACCTTACTATCAAAATCTAAATTTAAAAAAATTTATTAAATAAAAATTAAAAAGAAAACAAACCCTTAATCTTTCAACAATATTTAAAGAAGGTCCACCACCAATTTTATGGCAATAACGTTTTAAACTATTTGTCATTTTCTCAGCTCTTTCCATTGGATACATTTGTTCTAATTGGTCAATTGAATCTCGATAAAAACAAATTTCACGAATTAATGTTGATTTAAGTTTTTCATCAGAAAGGCAGCGAGAAAGCAGTTGAAATTGAGAACGCATATATTTATATGAAGTATTTATCTAAATATATAATGGAACAAATTATAAATTTGAGAGGCTTGAGAATTGTGCTAGTGGACATGAATACTATACCCGATTTATATAAAAGATTTTGTAGATAAAAAAATTTTTTACCAAAGGATCTAAAATTCCTATTCCATGGGTTTTAATTGAATTTACAATTTGTTGTACTCTAACGATAGCCAATTGTTTGCTTTGACTTGAGCGTTCAATAAAAAACTTTAAAAAGTATTTTTTGAATTATTTTTCAAGAGAACCTGTTCATCTAAATCATAGCAATAATCCTCCAAAAATTTACTCATTTTCTCTTCACTCATTAAAGTAATTAAATCTAGACCTAAAAACAAAAATAAAAAAAAGTTAAAAAAATTAATTAAAAACCTTGATCAACACATCTAGTTGGTAATTGATAATCTTCCAAATTCAACCCGTATCTATGTTTAGCTAAAATTCTCATTCGATTATAAGCTTCAGAATCGTGTAAAGCAATAACAGAAAAATTATAAAATGTAGAGGATAAATAATTTGTGACATAATCTTAAAAAAGGATTTTTCAAAAGATTTAGTGTTAAAGATTCTTCAAAAAACTAACCAAAAACAACAATTATTCTATTTCCAAGTTTAATCTTAGGAATTTGAAGTAAATTTAATAAAAGTTTATTTAAAGGTTTCTCTTCTTGTTGTAAAGGATTTTGTGTGGAAAACAATTTTTCTAATTGTTCAAAAGAAGAACTTTGTTGTTGATGATAAGAAAGTCTAAGATCATTTTCAATTTCGGTACAAAGTTTTGAAAGAAAATTCTAAAAAGTTAAATAAATTATTTTAAAAAATTAAAATAAAGCACAAACATTTGTAATAATTAAAAACAATTCATTGCTAAATGTTTGAAGAAAAGTTTGTTGATCACAATGTTTGACAGAAATTATTAAACGGCCACATTCATTAATTGCACTGAAAAAGTCCTTAAAAATAAGAATATTTAAATAATTTCAAATTATTTTACAGTTATAGTTCTAGGTAAATCTTCATTCGAAAAATCAGTTATTTGTTCCTGAATTAAATCTTCACAAAAAGCTTGCATAAGTGAAAGTCGATGCCAATACAAAAAGGAAAGATCAGTAGAATTTGAAAGTACATGACCAAAATTGCAGAGAATATCGAGTTTTTTCAGTGTTTCGTCTATTTGGACGTCATTTCCTCGCAACGTTTTCTTAAATAATTCTTAAAATTATTTTAAGGAATTTCACTCTGTTGCCCCAAAATATTTAAAAAATTCAAACAAACTTGATAATTTGCCAATTCCAAAGACACTCCAGCAACAATTAATGCCTTTCTACCAACTGGTTGACTCAATGAAAGAGCAGAATTTAAAATTGAATTAGCAAAGAATGGCTGTTTGGATTCTCCATTTGATTGAATAATTGATTGTAAAATTGAAAGAATAGAAGCAGAAAGATGAACACAACCATAATTAATTGCTTCGAGTATAGAATTCCAATTAGAGGTAAAAGTATTTGAAATGGTCTAAAATGAGTGGAGAGAAGATTAAAGAATTTATTTTAAATTAAAACCTTAACAAATTGAATAAGCACAAATATTAGCCTAACATTAGCTTTCGAAATTGGTTTTTGTTCAGCCAAATGAATATTTAAAATATATTTAAGTAATCTATTCAACTTTTCTCCCATATGAATACCTTCAATAAATAAATCACAAAATTTTAAATAATCAGGAGTGGATCCCTTCTCTTCTTCTTGCATTCTCTTTTGCCAATCATTTAAATTTAGTGAAAACTAAAAAAGTAAAAAAATTAATTCGTCTCTCCAAAACACAATTCTGATTACACTTATATATTTAATTAAAAAATATATAAAATTTAACTGTTTGAACATATTTGTAAAGATTTTCCAAAAGTTTGTTTAATTGGCATCCTTTTGCAATTTGTATTGTAGAAGAAACTTTTTTGTCCACAACTTTACTAGCGCCAAGTATTTCTTTTAAAATAAAATCAAAAGGTATAAACAACAAATCAGCAAATAAATGGAAAGAAATTAAATTTTTGTTTATTCCCAATAATTTTGAAATAATTTTTTTGTCAGGTTTTTGTCGTTCAGGTAATAAATGATGAAATAATTTGGATAATGTTAATAAACAAATAAGCCTCTTTTTATCGGGAATTGCATTTTCTGAAGAATTTATATGTTTTTCCCAATTAGTTAACATTTGCATTATTGCTAGACGAAAACGTTCCATAAATTGACGATCTGACGAAAGTTGGTCGAATCGTGTAAGTTTAATACAAGTATTCTAAATTAAAAAATAACTCTTATTATTAGTTTTCATTGAATCAAATGAATAAAATTTGTAATTTTTGTCAGTTATTCGGCCCAAATTACCCCATGGACAAATAAAATATAATTACCGTTAAAATCTTTCCATTCATTAAAACTAAATCTAGCCTTTCAATTAAAGCATTTAAGTGTTGTAAACGACCAGTAGAAAGTCCTTCCAAATCAAATTGAGCTGGATTAAATTGCACCAAACGAACAGAACGTAATAAAACAGCCCAATGTTCGCGAAGAAAAGGATGTGATAAAATCAAAGCATCAAGAACTAAAAAAATTTGTATCAAAAAATAATTTCAAAAGAAAACCAGCAAATGTTGATAAAAGGTCGCCAAGTGTTCTCCACATCCTTGTTAGTGGCAATTGATCTGCCCGATGATTTTTGATTTCATTTCGACCAAAAGTTAAAAATCCATGGATTTGAAGTAGTAAATTTTTAGTTAATTCACTCGTTGTATAGACAAACTGCTCAAGCTTTTGTAAAAATGGTAAAAACTCAACAATTGTTTCGAGAACCGAACTACCCTCATTATCTACTGAAAAAGGAATTGAAAGTATAAATACCACAGAAAATAGGAACGAAAAGCTATATAAAAAATGACAGGTTATAAAGTCCTTAATTAATTTTACAAACCTTCATCATACATAGAAATTGATTCAAATAATTCCTGGGACGTTTGAATTAAATTATTAGCAGAAATAAGAATGTCTGAAAAAATTGTAGTTATTGAATCTGTCAGCTTATCACCAGATAAGTCGAATGAAATGTTATCAAAAGTATTATCCGAACCACCCTAAATTTAACAGCACTATGAGGTTACCAAAATAATTTACCTGACATTTGACATAATTATTCCCAATAAATTTATCCTTCCGTGAGTTTAGATCATTCAGTAAACTTTCAAAATCCTGCAAAACAATTGCTCTAGAGCGAGCGTGTTGCATAGTTTCCATTTTCTAAACTTCGATTAAATCCTAGTCTAACTAAAAATGATTGGCTTGAATTCGAAATAAGAGACAAAATTTGTAATTCTTCAACAGTTCAAGAAAAGAAAAAGCTGGATTAGTCAGCTGAATGATTTTAATTTAATAAATTTATTATATTCAACATGAAAATTCAACAAAAAGGATCTAACAAATAATTACTCATCATCCATAAATTCATCCCATCTTACTTTGTCCTTCTTTCCTGACCATTCTTCTTCTAATGTATCATCTGCTTCATCAGAAATGCAAAATTGTTTTCCTCTAGTTTCGGCATTATATGTCCACTTTGGAAAAACTCTTTTGTATAAATTCATTAAAACTGAGTCTTGCACACTCAATGGACGATCAAAAACACATTTCATCAAGCCATGAGTACCTAATGGTTGTTTAATACGTCCATGCCTTCCACTATGTGTGTATAACTCAACGGGTTTAAACCACTCTATATCCTCTAAAAAACAAGAAATAAATAGTAATATAGATAAAAAACAAACCTCTATTAAAGAACATATACCTCACAACCGCTGTCCTTTTATTTACTTTAAATGGATGCCCGGAGAGCCGGACACGTTTGAGAATAATTCTGTCAGGATTTGAATCAAGAACAATTCCTTTTGCTATTAATTGAAGTTTTTCAGGGGAACATTGCCGGAAAACTAAAACATTTGAGGGTGGAAAGGTGATTGGGGCAAAAACAGTAGCACAAAATGCTCCAGATGAAGGCATAAAACGTTCCATCTTAAAGTGTTTTTGTTTATAAAAATGTATTCCACTTCAAAAATCAAACAAAAAAACGGACCTTAAACTTCTTTCCATTTGTATGTTGTGAAAATACAGGATTTGCAGTAAAAAGACGACATCCAACTTGAAAGAGTAATTCTTCCTTATTCTTGACAGGCTTATTGAATGATGGATATCGATGTAAAATCATATTTAAGGTGGACATTCTATGTTCATTTTTGAGTAGACCAAAAACAATTAAAGGAGAATGTGTGGAAGAAATATGGTTTTCTAAAAATAAAGTATGAATAAATCTCTCACTAAAGTTTTGAGAAACCGTATGAACTAGGCACATCTTTGACACACAATGTAATGTAAGCACCAGGAGTACAAAACTGTTCGTCACCCTCATCAGCTGCCTGAAACGATTGTTTTGCTGCCTCAAGCGCAAGTTTCCTCGTTCTTTTGAAATTTACAATTTTATAGATCCGTGCATAATCTTTTGTTAAATTCTCTTTTGGATCCCACGGACTTGTTCTAAAATAAAAAGTTAATGTTTATTATTATTCAAATAAAACCTAAAACTTTTCAGTCCTCGATAACGTTTAAACCTATCACGTGCATTCATTCCCTCAGGTGCTTCGACCTCATCAGGCCATTGACGATTTTCACGTTCCTTTTTAAATAACTCTTTCTGATGATCATCATTAATATCAATGTCGTTCAAATCAATTGATTCGTCCATTGTGGCACTCTCAACGACAGAATGAGAATCACCTTCTCCATTTTGAGAAAAATTTTCATCCTCCATTTGTGCACAGAAACCATTTTCCGTTCCATGCAAGTCGTTTCCATTGTCTTCGTCTTCAACAGAATCACACTCATCAGACTCTTCCTCCTCATCATCATCCTCTTCATAATCATCATCAATTAACCAGCTAGCCTGGTACTCTGAAGTCCCTTCTGGAAGCTTTACCTTCGGAACTGCGTCTGGAAATTTTTTTTAAATAATTATAAAAAATATCTAATACATTTTTCTTCATTTTCATCCATCTCCGGTTGATCAATATTCATTGGATCCTGAATAATCTCACTATCAAGCTGTGTTTGCTTTAAAGGGTCGGCTTTAATAGCTCTGAGTATTTCCATTGATTCTGCCTTCTAAATATTTAAAAATTAAATATAATTACTCAAATAATACCTTGGATTGTTTTAATGGATGCGGATCATTCTCAAATACAACTTGACTCAATTGGAAATCACCACAACCAGAAATGTGAACCAGCCCATTAACATTTAAAGGAGCACCATTTAAATAACCAGAAATGAGAAGGGAGAAAGAATCTGAATTGTCCTTAAATTTAAACAAAAGTATTTAATAATTAAATTATTTATTAACCCACTTCAGTTTTAATTATTTGAACATTTTCAGTAATTAAGTAAGGCCTTAATTTTTGTAGATTCGAGCGGACTTTGCGTGTAGTAGAAATTTGTCGAAGAATTTGAAGAGGACTGCCACCTTGTAAATCGTAGATTCGAGAGTCTTTTGCCCTAAATGAATTTTTTAAATCATTGGAAATGTATTAATGTAAATAACGGATAGATTTATAGGTAAGAAAATTTTAAAAATACAATACAAAAGATATATTAAAAATTACCAAGGCGCCATAAGCTTCTCAAGCGCTTTTCGTGTTGAATCACGTTGTTTTCCAGAAGCAGGAAGTGTTGAGACCAGATTAAATGTTGGTGGGAATCCATGCGCAGTAATAACATCCAATAAGCGACTATGCGCAATATTTAAATTTGTTGTTTCAGTTGGCCATAAAATGACTAAAATATCAGAAACTCTTAAAAAATCGAGCGTAGAGATAATTGAAGTAGTATCAGGGCAAAAGAAAATGTAACGTTGTTTGAAGCGAGGGACACTAAAAACAAAAATTGATGCATAGAATTAAAGTAAAAAGTACGCTAGATGAGAAATATTTCTCTTTTCATTCACATGTATAACTGCATCCTCGTCGGCAAGATTGAAAGTTTCTACAATTTTGTGTGATGTGAAGGCCTCGTCAAGTGAAATTATTGTCTAAAAAATTGTCAAGATAAGAAAAAATGAATCAAAGAAATTCCCAACAAAACAAAAGGGTAAAATAACATACAATGTTGATTGGTGACTGCCCTTCTTTTCGCTTCTCTTCTGATATTTTTCCAACTTTATTAGCTCGGATCTGCGAAGAACGATTTTTTCGAGCCAACTTCTTCAAATTCTTAAACTTTGGTTGGGATTTTGATTTGATACCAACCTTCCCTAAAATAGAAAATTTAAACAACTTGAGAATGTAGTGCCCTAACAAAAGGAGTAAGCGGATATAAAATCAGTAAGTCAGCCAACACTCACTAACGAAACAAAAACTCATACAAAAACCCTGACTTTGTACGGGTTTCAAAAACAAAATATAAGCAAACAACAGAATTTAACCTTTTTGTTCTTTGGCAATTGCATGCTTACTGCGATGCCGACCTGAAGAATGCTTCTTTGGAGGTAATTTGAAAAGACCAGTCCTATGCACTGTCACTTCTGTATCTTTTGCCATTTCTTTAAAATAAGTTTAAAACAATAAAGAATAAAAAAAGAAAATATAACTTGTATTTACAAATTAATAAAGTGAATTTTAAAATAACAAAATATTCAACAACAATTTATATTTTAATTAACAAGCCAAATCCCAAAAGATAAATAAAAATTACAATAATACGGATCACAGTGGGTAAAAAAGGAAACAGAGTAACAGGAGCAATTTTATCTGTCAACAATTCTATAGGATTTTAATATAATTATTTCCCAATTAAAATTTAACTATCTTTGCACACAATGAAGTGTATTTAAAATAAGAATAACAAAAAAACAAATTTATCGCTTAAAAACTTCTCACATCAGTCAATATGTATCTACAATTCATTGCCTGTGAAGTCACCATATCGCCAAATGTTCAGATGCGCTTTACGAGCTTTTGTTTCCTGCTCCACATAATCAACAACCTAAAAAAATTTTTATTTGTTAACTTAAAAAATAAGCAGAAAATCATGCAAGACTATATAGAAAATACGCTCAAACTGCCAACACTAATTCTAATTTTACATAAATCTATTCCTCTTAATATTTAATAAAATAAATACCAATTGCTGAAAGCGCGCTTCTCGTCGTTTTTCCACAAGAGCATAACCATCCATGATAAGTTTTTTCGCAAGATCACGCTTCTCCCCCTTATTATCATCTGCAAACACTGTAACAGCCTCTAATCCCCCGATTCGATATTCAACATTCAAATATAAATATGGTTTCGAGAAACAGAGGCGCTTAAATGCTAGCATTGAATCGTCAGCGTATGAAGGATCAGGCGGAGCTGAAAAAATTTTTTTAGAAATATTTTGATCAAAAATTTACCTGATACTAAAGCTAGTTGATATTCTTTCGCAAAAGGCGCTTGAGATTGGAATTGTGGAGGAAGTGGAGCGATTCGGCTCATTGACAAAGTCTCCCTCTGAAAATAATAATAAATGTGACTGAAAGCGAATATTAAAATAAAAAAAAATACATTTCCAAAGTCAATGTACAGCCTAAAATTAAGTAAAGATTAAATAAAATAGCAAAAATTTAATAAAGCCTACACATCAACGTTGTCTCCCTTTACACCTTCAACACGTGCACGATGCCATAAATTCCCATCTGTATATTTAGCAGCGCAAAGTTGATTTCGCTTTGGAACAAATTTAATGATAGACGGTGTTTTGAGTTCAAGTTGTAAGGCATTCATTAATTTCTCGATTGAAAGACCTAAAATTTAATAAGTTAGCAATCTGCAAAAAATCCTTAACTAACCATCATCAAAAGTTTGCGCAGCAAAACGGAACCCTGTATAAACTTCTGTGAGCAGAATCTTCTTTAACTCTAATTTTCGTTCAGTTGTATCATTGCCTTGTTTTTGATTATCGTCAATAAGTTGTTGCTCTTCCTCAACATGATGCTTCCAAATGCCTAGTTTTGCAGCTTTTGCAATTCTCTCCGCGTTCGTCAAAAGAGTATAATATGAAGAACGTTCAGCAGTAAAATGTACACTTGCGAGTCCATTCTCCACTAATAACTCGGAAAGGTTCTTCCAAACGCCTCGTTCTACTTGCACAAATAAATAACCAATAAATCCACCAGCTTTATCCATAGTCTCTACCTCGATTTGAACCTATAATATTAAAGTATAAAACGAGTTAAGAGAAAAATATAACATCATGCTGCAGACATTTATGACGAGTAAAGTTCATTGCTTGCACTGCAAAAGGTTCATCACTTCCAATCTGCTGTCCATTTGGTCCAATCCTTGCCGTACGAGGTGCATTTATCCCCGAGAGGAGAAATGTTATTAAGCAAGATTCTTTTGGCACATAAACGCGAAGACGTGAGGCGCTTGCCACAAACTCAACTAGTCCATCAATACGCTGCGAACGCTGCAGATAGGGAAGAAATTGCTTGGAACGTTGAGCATCTCCCTGGAGTTCTTGAACACGTAGAGTATTTGCTTGGTCAGTTTTATCCGCCCAAAGACCCTTTTTCTCGGCCTCAGCTTTAGTTTCTGCTGCAATAAGTTGATCATACTGCTGAGATCGATTATCATCATCACTTCGATGTCTAATGACCTATAACAAAATACAAGTACAAAAGTTAAATAAGTTTAAAGAACCTTAGCATATCCACGTTCTATCATCATAATAGCAACATTTTGACCATTGAATAATATTGTGCAGCAAGTTTTCTCGGGAAATTGGTTTTGTTTTGGTTGCACATAATCAATCATGACGGTGACACGTTTATCGATAAGCCGTTTTCGCAAATATTCCCTAGCTTCAAACATAAAAGGAATATCATAAAGAGGCCGTGGTTGCGTTCTAACAGCCGTTTGAACAGGAAGAGCGCCGTCTGTGCCTTCTCGCCTGCATTAAACAATGTTTAACAACAAATAAAGTAAAAACCTAGGAGGTCTCAATGAGGAGAAATAAACTTTCAATTCCTCCCCATTGTCCTTCAAGACAGAAAGTGAATCGCAAAGACCAATTTCAACAACTTTTGCAGAAAATCCGCTCTTATTGATAGAAGGTGCCGATGTCGTTTGAGCATTGAAATTTTTCCTTGAAGAGAAGATAATGTATAAAAGTTAACATAAAAATACCAGATGCGTAGACGTCGTTGCTTTGCAAAGTTCTCTGCTTCACGTAGTTTCTCACCACCACCAGTTACAAGACCCATTGTCCAGTCAAGACATTTTGCCAAACCGTCTTTCAGCAAAAATTCAGCAATATTCCCTCGTGGATGAAGCACGCTACCAATGAAGTTTTGATTCGAAGTACTTTCTAAAATGACTTTCACATCTCGCTGAAGAAGTCGAATCTCAACAAAAAACTTCGCTTCTTCTCCAAATTCTTCAGGCTTTCCTTCAGTTCCGACACGCACTCCCGGTGTCTAAATGAGAATAAAAAAATTTAATTTATAATTATAAACAACCTTTACTCCACTGAAACCAATTGTGACATAATCAAAGGAAGGCAACAAAAATGCTCTGACAGTGCTTCCATCACGAACCTAAAATTCTATTACAAATAAAAAAATTCAAAGAACCTGTTCGATTACTGCATCAACAGGCTTTCCACCATATTTAGTAACCAAAGATCGGGGATCATCAAAAGACCATTGGATACTTCTGACGTGCTTTGTTGGTTCATCGCCAGACCATCGACCTTTCTTTGCCTCTTTTGCTTGTTCTTGTAATTCCAACAATTTTTTTGTAGACTCGCTAAGAAAAAAACATAAATGATTACAAATTTAAACTAACTCAATTTGTTTTCCTGGTCGAACTTCCAAAAGACCGGCAGAAACTCCTGATTCCGTAACGTTCTCTGCGCTTTCGAGCCCTTAGTAGAACATAACTAAAGCTTAAAATGATCAAATAAAACCTGTGCCACCAAGGTAAATGTGTCCATGCTCACGTCCTGAGGTAGCAGTAAACTCCCGCACAAAAGTAACTGTTTGACCAACTAACTTTTTACGAATAAATTCTCGCGCTTCCCAGGCGTAGGGCTAAAAAATTATGTTCTCCTTCTATGCTTATTTATAAATAACCTCATCCGGTGTAGCAGCTGTATTCTCTGTTGGACGTTTAGCCAACCTTGGAGCAACGACATTACATAAATAAACGGTAGTTTCATTGGGAGGACTTCCAGGCGCTACCGAAAATTGCAATACAACAGAATCTCCACTCAAGACCTAAAATAAAAATTTAAAATAAAATTTAAAAAAATTGGAGAACCTGTTTGACAAAACCACGTTTCATATTGTTTTCGAGAACAGGTTTTACAGGACCTTCAACCATTGTTTAAAAAACGTATTTAGTCTTTAAATAAAAATCTAAAATTTTAGAAAGGTCGAAATAATTTAACGTGTTTTTAAGGGATCTTATTTAGAATAAGTTTTCAAATATATTTTTTAGCTTTAGCTTTTCCAAGATATTCGGACAACCTTCCTATGCATTCTCAAGCAAATTTAAAGACATTTTTTACCATCGAATTAATCTCTGTCGAAATTAAGCACCAAATTTTGTTGTTAATGCAAAAAATATTTTAAAAGTCCGCATTATAAATGCCAAACAATTATTTAGGGTACGGCCCACCTTGTCGCGGGCCACCTTGTCGCGACCACCTTGTCGCGACCACTTTGTCGCAGGCCACCTTGTCGCAGGCCCACCTTGTCGCAGGCCACTTTGTCGCAAGCTTTCCTTTGGTTTTTCTTTTAAGGTTGGCCCAAACTTTGCTCGCCATGTGCCATACTTCATGCCACGGCTACAACGATGGGAAAATTAGAAAGGTTTGGAATTTTTATTTTGTTTTTTTAAGTTTTTTTTTAATTTTTTAGTTGATTTCCGTCAGTTTCTGACTGGCGATTTTCAAGTTAGAAGTTTCTGAAGGAACGAAGATGTTTAAATTAGGAGAACATTGACAAGAAAAACAAACCCAAACTGCCCTGCTTAGGGTCACAAATTTAATTAGTGAAGCGCGACAATGGCTTTTTTAAAAATTTTTTGATTAAGTTTTGAGTGCTTTTTCCCTTTAATTATTTTCTCTTATCCGGGTAAATTCTTCCGGAGGTTTTGACAGAGTAATACCGAACCAGATTACTCCAGAAAACCCCGATCGTGCCCAGAATGCCTTTTTCCTACTCTCCATATCAGCATAAAAATTTTTCACCCCTTGCGACAAAGTGGCCTGCGACAAGGTGGGCCTGCGACAAGGTAACCTGCGACAAAGTGGTCGCGACAAGGTGGTCGCGACAAGGTGGCCCGCGACAAGGAGGGCGTGTCCCAATTATTTATGGCATTCTGATTTTATTTATGGAATCATTTTTTTAGAATCCTTCGTGCCAGCCGCAGCTGAGGATCCTTAATTGTTCTTCTTTTATTTGGTAAGGTAAACCACATGTAAAAATTCACAGAAATTTTAGATTTGATTCACTAATTTGATTCATTTATAGTTTTTATTTTAAATTTGTTGATGGAAATTATTACTGAACCTGATTCCATCGCATTTCCAAAGCAACAACTAGATGACTTACTTGAAGTGATTATACGGATGAATACTTCACCTATTCAACAACCTAAAAGACATGGAGTTAATGGTGCACATAGAAAGGTAACTAAATTTTCGCATAATTTACGAAGCTTATTTCTTTTAGAAGCATCCATTTTCAACAAGACTTGAATGCGGACAGAAGCTTTTTTCAAAAATACCAGCTGATCATGTTGTTGATTTTTTCATTGCTGCGTTAAAACATGTTCAATCGATCAAATCCGAAACTGATTTGGCTAGTCAGCTGCAAAATTCCACTCTGTTGAATTCTGCAAGTGTTGAGCAAATTCTTATTCAGGTACAAATTCTCATTCAGGTGATACACCTTTGTGCACTCCCGAAGTTAGTCCACCCCTGCATACTTAAAAAGTTAGACCCACGAACAATGTTAGCCCCCCCTAAATTTACCGCTGGATACGCCTTGTCAATACATTGATTTAACCATTTTCATTTAGAGTTTCTTTGTGTGGGTGCAAAGTCACAATAAGCAGGCACAAAAGAACAAAGCAAGGCTCAATTCCGACCAAAATATTAAGCAGCGTATTGTGTTCTATCCGCCAAAACGTGAAAAATTGCTCGATTTGATTATTCCTATTGATTTAATTTGCAAGGGCTGTTCTTATTCATGGAAAACTATTGCAAGTGTTTTAGACCTTCAACAATCAAAACAATCTCTTTCTTTTGTTTCAAAAGTTTTTGATTTTTTGAATATGGGACAGGCTAGGTAATTTTTTTGATTCATTAAAATTTTGGTCAATTATTAACCGTTAAGAAATTTGTGACTATATTACTACTAAAATTATAACTTTTTCCAAGTTGATCGTTTATTTATTTTTACTATTGATATTTAAGATCCTTCATTTCTCTTCTTTTTTAGTTTTAGTGTTCTTCAATTTTGCTTGCTGAATCACAGCGTCGCATACCAGTTGGCATTTCCTAAAGTTATAATTATTGCACTATTACTTGGACCTCTTGATGCCCGGACTGTAGAGGCATTTGTTGGTAATCGAACGGGTGAATTTCGTTCTGAAGTTCGACAATTGCTTGAAATGGTAAATATCCTCCTGTTTTAATTGTAAATCTTCTTTTCAGGCAGAGAAATGGACTAAAGACGAGTCTGATTGGCGTAAAGCTGCTTTGGAATTTACTCATAAGAATCCTGACCTTTTGCCTCCTTTTTCTCAGTTTTGTAAAACAATTACTTCTTTATTGGCTGACCTAAGAAATGGTTTATTTATTTTTTACTTCCTTCATTTTCATATTTTTTAAAGAATTATCAGAACATGAGAATATTATCAGCGATAATTGGTCTTGTTCTCTTATTCGCAAAGCTGCTCATAAATTTTATCTAGAAAAAACTTGGAGTAAAGACCAATTCAACGACATTCTTCATACGTTGCTTGTACAAAAACCTACACTAAAAGCATTTTTACTAAATGTTTTGCTAAAAGATCATAATGACAAAGTGGCTTTTGATAGATGGAAGAATTTTGTTTCTGCTGATAGAATTCACATGTCAAAGTATTTTTAACCTTTTTTAAATTTTCACAAATAATTTAAGAAATTTCGAAAAGGTTGATCTATGCTCAAAAGAAGAGTGCCCAGAGTTTTTGCATTTAAGCCGAAAAGTGGATGTTTTTGTAATTTCAAACATTCATCAATTCAAAGTCTTTGAGAAGCAATTTTCTGATTACGAGCGTAAAAAGACTTCACGAATTATAATTGGCTTTGATTCTGAGTGGAATTCTTTTGTAATGAAAAGCAGGTGTTGCTAACTCTCATTTATAATTAAATTTTCTATTTAAGGGCATCACTTCTACAACTTGCATTGTCTCATTCTGTATATCTGCTTGATTTGGATAGTCTACACTCACAAAAAGAACTGGTTGACTTTATTGATCGAATCTTTATGAGCCGCGAAATCGTCAAGCTCGGTTATCATTTTTCTGATGACCTTGTTCAACTTCGAGCTCGACTGCATGATTGTTTGGGGTTGTATAGGCCTAACAGTTTATATTGTGTTGGGAAAATTGTGGAAGAGGTAGGGTATTGATTTTGCTTTTAAATATAAGGCTGTCCTTGGACATTTTAATTATTATGTTAAAAATTTTTTTGATTCAGTTAATTCGGCGAAGCTCTGGACCTACTGTTCATATCCAATTGGATCAATTTGTTCTTCCTGTTACAGAAAAAGAAGAGGAAGATATGAAGGAACACACACGAAAAGTGAAGCCCACATATTTTGTGAAGAGTCCTGAAAATTTTAAAAATCAGAACCTCAATTCCAGTCTTTCTGATAAGGAAGCCTCAGATGAAGAGAATGTTACAAATCCTTATGAAGTAGAAAGTCTGTTTTTTTTATTTTTTAGACTTAATCACCGATTTTTTCAGTGTCTGAAGTGAGTACAAGAAGTAGCAGACAAAGCACGAAAATATTTACTCCTCCGCAGGAGCCCAAATCAACAAAGTTTTCTGAGCAAGGCCTTTCCTATATTTGTCGAAGAGTATTAGGCAAACCGTTGAATAAACAAGAACAGTGTTCAGTTTGGGATAGACGCCCTTTAAGAACTAGTCAGGTTTGATAAAAATAATATTAACAAATAGTTTCTCTCATTAATAGATAAGATATGCAGCTCTTGATGCACATTGTATTGTTCAAATCTATCATCGTTGTCGTGAATGGGCGGAGAAAATTGGTGTTGGAGGAATGGAGCCTTTTGAACTTGTTCCATCGAGTTATCTTCATTCGCCGCTTCCTTTATTTTGGGACAAACCTTTGCCTCCTGATCTCTTTAATGAAAAAGCTTCGGCTGAATGGACAGCAACGGGGACAAATGGAGGTGGCTGGGATTGACAAGTGCCTTTATTTATTTTCAATTTGAATGCTTTGACCATTTCGACTAATTTATGAAAAGATATTCCACTTCTTTAAAAACCGCATTCTTTATATAATCTGTGTTAACTGTTCCCAATTATGTATTCATTCGTAAATATAATCTTTATTTTTTCTATTACATATATTCTTTGTTTTTCAATAGAAATACCTATTAATTATATACTAATATCTTTTTAGCGTATAAAAAATTTAGAAATTAAGTCAAAAATGAGCTCTCGAAAATTCTTTGTTGGTGGAAATTGGAAAATGAATGGATCATTCTCATCCATTAACGAGTTGATTTCTTTGCTCAACAATTCGTCTGGAAATGCGTCCGCTGATATTGTTGTGGCTCCACCTGGTGAATTAAATTAGAAATTATCTTTAAAAGATTTTCTTTAATAGCTCCATATTTGCATTATGTGGCGCAGAATATCAAAAATGGAATACAAATCGCCGCTCAAAATTGCTATAAGGTTGGATCTTTTAGTCCGTTAATTTTTAAGTGTTCTTAAGGTTCCGAGTGGTGCTTTTACCGGTGAGATCAGCCCATCAATGATTAAGGATCTCGGTGTTGCTTATGTAATTCTTGGACATTCCGAACGACGTCATGTATTTGAAGAGAAGGATGTTTTGATTGCTGAAAAGGCAGCTCACGCTCTAGAATCGGGACTTAATGTGATTTATTGCATTGGGGAGAAGCTTGAAGAACGTGAGGCCAACCAAACTAAAGAAGTATTTGTATCATTTTTTGCATAAATTTGTTATTGATTTATTTAAGGTGAATTTTCGTCAATTAGATGCTTTGCTTAAAGTTCCAAATATCGACTGGAAAAAGATTGTTATCGCGTATGAGCCGGTTTGGGCCATTGGAACAGGCAAGACTGCGAGCCCTGAGCAAGCTGAAGAAGTGCATAAATGGATTCGTGATTATCTTGAGGAAAAAGTTTCGAAAGAGATTGGACAGACGACGCGTATAATTTATGGCGGTATATTGTTTCTAAAGTAAAATCTATGGGAAGGTAGCTCCCGCGCATAAGATTAATTATAAAACCCTAACACTAAAAAAGTACTGAAAGGTCGGAACCTTATTAAACTATATTTTGAAATTTTAAATTTTGAGTAATTTATAGGATCTGTTACTGCTGGTAATTGTGATGAATTGGCAAAACAGCCAGATGTTGATGGCTTTCTTGTTGGAGGAGCTTCATTGAAACCCGATTTCATTAAGATCTTCAATGCCAAGCAATAGATTATATTCTTTTGATGATTTAGGATTAAAGATGAAAATTATTGAAATAATTATCTTAATTTATAGAAGATCATTAATAAATTGAATAATAATTATATATTGATTTATTTAAAGATATTTAAAATGTCTTTTAATATCTATCACCGAATAATTATATACAATTATTTTTTATTAACACAGAAATGTCTTCAGCTTATATTTCTGAACCAAAAACTAAGGGAAAGGTTCGCATTGATTTTATGTATATTTATGGTTCAATTTAACTTTTAGGTGTGTCTAGAAACAACATTGGGGCCGATTGACATTGAATTATGGAGCAGGGAATGCCCTCTAGCGTGTCGCAATTTTGTTCAACTTTGCGCAGAAGGATACTACAATGGCTGCATATTCCATCGTCTTGTACGTAACTTTATTGTGCAGACGGGTGACCCAACAGGAACGGGACATGGAGGAACTTCAATTTATGGCGATGTTTTTAAGGTTAATTTGTTTTTTAAATGGAAAAGATAATTAAATTTTCTGTTGTGAGTTACATGATTTTTGATTATAAAATATAAATATTTGTAAATATAATATACATTCTAGAGTGAATTCCATCAACGTTTAAAATTCAACAGACGCGGATTGGTGGGAATGGCATCTGATAAGAAAGATCAAAATGGTTCACAATTTTTCTTCACACTTGGCGAAGCATCAGATCTTAACGGCAAACACACACTTTTTGGAAGGGTTTTGAATAATTTTTAAATAAAAAATTTTGAAATTTTGAAGGTTGGTGGAGATACTATCTTTAATTTGCTCAAGATGAACGATTATGACGTTGATGCAAATGAACGTCCCTCCAGAATACACAAAATTACTGGTGTTAAAATTCTGGAAAATCCTTTTTCTGATTTAAAAATACGTTCTAAAAGTGAAAAGGAAGAAAAGATTGGAAAAAGAAAATTAAAAGAAGAAAAAATTGAACAAATTCAACCAAAGAGGAACACTGCATTACTGTCTTTTGGAGATGAAATGGATGAATATGATGAAGAAGCTTCCAAGTTTCAACTAAAAGGAAAGAGTGCTCATGATGTGTTGGTTGATGATATTTCTCTGAGCAAACAAGCGGCAGTTGGGCCAGAGGAAATTAATTATAAGAGTGAAAATAGTAAGAAGGTGGACGTTGATGATAAAGAGGTATAATATTTTTAACGATTTAGCTGACAAGGAGCCATATCGAACTGTGACCAAAAATTTTTAAATAAAAGTTATACCATCGTGTAGAGCATAGTCGAAAACCAATTGTAGTAGGTTTCTTTTTTGGCCCTGACCCCCATTTCGAAAAGTTATAGGGCTTCAAAGTTTTCGACTTTTGGAGCGGTTGAGTCGCCCTCACTTTCCTTATTATTTCTCTTCCTAAAGGGAAAAATAAGACTCCTTTTCTCCATTTTTCCTTTCCTTTTCTTTTCCCATGTTGGTTAAAGAAAGAGAAAAAGAGGAGAGAAAAGGAAAGGAAAAGAGCATCTCTGCCCTGCGGCTAATGTCAATTAAAAAGGAAAGAGGAGATGGCAGACATGCCTCTTTTCCTTTTCTTTTCTCTCCTCCTTTTCTCTTTCTTTAACTAATATTGGAAAAGAAAAGGAAAGGAGAAAAGGAGGATGGGAGTCTTATTTTTCTCCTTAATAAAAGAAAAATCTCTTTTTATGAGGGCGACTCAACCGCTCCAAAAGTCGAAAACTTTGAAGCCCTATAACTTTTCGAAATAGGGGTCAGGGCCAAAAAAGAAACCTACTACAATTGGTTTTCGACTATGCTCTACACGATGGTATAACTTTTATTTAAAAATTTTTGGTCACAGTTCGATATTGTTCCTTGTGAGAATTAACTAACAAAATTCCAATTTTAAATAGTTATAAGACAATTAGATTTTTAAAATAATTCGTCCATTTTTTCTAACTAACAAATATTAATTAGGATTTTATGGAAGAACAGGCGAGAGAAGAAAGGATGGATAGAATTAAAAATAAATTTAAAAGTAACAAAAAAGTTGTGCAATTTGATGAAAGTAATAAGAATGAAGAGGAAGATGATATTGAAAAAATTGTTGAAGACTATAGAGAAGCGGGGAAGAGGAATGAAATGTAATTAATTTTAGTAAATAATTTTTTGAATAAAAATTTTTAGGGAGCGAATCAAATCAGAATTAAAGGAACTTCAGAAGGAATATAAAAAATCAATGCGTGGACAAAAGGAAGAGAAGCAAGTTGATGGTTTGTTTTGATTTTATTCGAAAAAAGGAAAAATTGTCTTTTAAAGAGGAGGCTAGCACTTCAACTGGTATGAAAATGTATAACAAATTAAAGCTAAATTTCAAGTCTGGAACAAAAGGTGTTGTTAAAACTTTGGATCCGAGAAGAGAGGAACAGGTTTTTAATTGGATAATTTTTAATTGGTTTAATTTAATTTTTAGACGATTGCTTTGCTTGGACGTTTTCAAACTAGACTACAACGCGCCTCAGTACAAGGTGTTTTATTTGATAAAAAGGTGGATATGAGTGATCAGAAAAGTCGAGAGGATATTATTTTGGCTACTTCAGAAGATCAAGGAAAAATTGATTTTGATGCAGAGGATATACAAGGAGAGGATTGGTTAGAGGAAATTTTTATTTTTATCTAAAATTTAATTAATTTTAGGATGAATCATGAATTAATAGCACCAGAAGATACTTCTGGTGTTACAAAAGCAAAAGATGCAAATATGAAAGAAGAAAACGATGAATGGTATTTAAAGTTTAGATAAAAATATTTATAAAATTTTCTCAAGGTATCCAATTAATGATCCCAGGAACAAAATGAATGTACGGAAGAGAACTCAAGGAGGAAAAGTTCCTGATCTGTTCGCGAGTGCTGATCCGATGGCATTACCTTAATAGATTTGAAAGTTTTTTTCAAGCGTTCATAAGTCTATTTTAAACTGTTTGATATTTTTAAAGTATGTGTACGGTAAAATTACAAACGAATAAAAATTCGAATATCATTTTGAAACATTTTTATTTTATCAGAAATATATGTATTTAATAATATCATAAATGTTATATATAGATTTTTAAATCAAAAAAGATCAGTTTTTTGTAAGCATTCATTGTTTTTATATCATTGCACTCTGGAATTTATTAAATATTTGCAACAATGTGTGAAAAGTTGTTTTCCATTTAAAGTCTTCTGATTCGAATCTCTTAAGTAAAAAACTTGAATATATTTTTTAAATTTAAATTCTCACCTCGTATATAATTCAAGTCCATATTGGCCTTCATCCGGAAATTCTAAACTTATTAAAATTTCATTTTCATAAACGGTGCATTGAACACAACGTTGTAATCGTTTACTGTCCACTCCATTTCTATGTAAATTAGCGACAAATTCATTCAACGGTCTAAGCATTCTAAATTAATTATTTAGTACGATTTACTGCCATTTTGAAATACCTGAAGCGAATGTCACAGTATTGACCACAGTTAATTATTGGATCTTCATGAGTTATTGGTATCAGTCCAAATAATCGCGTAGCTTTATACGGTCCCCATTCACCACTAGCACATTCAGGCAATGGAATCATTACATGACAGAGATGTTCGCAAATAATCTGTAAAAAATTTTGAGCGTTAGTTAAAAATATAGTATGTATGAGGGGAGTCTCCTATAAACAAATTAATTTTCTTTTCTATGAAATGATAAAAGAATTTAACAGGGACCAGGGACCTCGAATAAAAAGAGAAATTGTGACTGAGTTGTGATGAAGCCTAAGGAGTAATCCTCGAGTTCTCCCTTACAGAACTCGAGTTCCTCTTAAAGAATGAATCTTTAAACGTTAATTTCCATCCTTCCCCAAAAAATATTAAATAAAAATCTTTAACCTTAAATTTACAAACACTTTTGAATTTAACTGGTTGTCCAGTCAAATAATGTTCTGCCGAAACTGAATTTGCAAAAATATCAAGTAGTAAAGGTTCCCTTGTTGGAACATGTACTCGAAAAAGTACAACGTCATTTTTAGTATTCATTGATTGCATAACATAACGTTTTAAACTACAACCATTTTGTAATGTTTCTGAATTTTCTGTTCCATCAAAGAAACGCAAATAATAATGGAAAATTAAATTTTTTGTTGATTCTGGTCCCATAGATAAAGATATTCCAACAGCGCCAGATCTGTCAGCTTTAAGTATTGCTTGTAATCGAGGATCGGTAAAATGAAGGCCAAAACGGAAAAATAAAGAGCGGACAAAAGGTAATTGTTCAAATTGTTTTAATGTTATTGGACGAGGCAAACTTAAAAAAATATTTTTAAATAAAAGAAAAACTAATTATATACTTACAGTTGCCATTGAGCATCATCAGGAAAGAATTCATAAATCATTTCTTCCTAAAAAATAATTTTTTATAGATTATTGCTCACAAAATATTAGTTTTTAAAAATCAAAATTTAAAATGAAATTTACCGGATCTGTCATAAAGTAATGATCATCATATTCATATCGAAGATTAGCATCTCCCTCAATTTCATTTTTATCCTCAATTGACCTTCTATCCCCATTTTTAACACCCAAATCTTTTGCATTAACTAAATGTCTTGCACCCCAATTACATTGAACAAAACGCCAAGAACCATCCAAGAAAGCAGCATTCCAAGTATTTCGAAAACGATTATCTGGAAAAGGAATTCCTGGCTGATATCCAGCAGATTTGCTAAATCCTTTAATTACATCACAATGAAGACCGGCATAACTGAAGAAAATAAATTTTATAAAATCTTAGGAATACTAGGAAAAATTTAAGAAACTAATAATATGAGGATGTAAATGTGTAAGATAAAAGACGAAATTGATCGTTACTTAATTTCTTAATTTATTCAACCCCTCCCCCCCCCCTCCCATTTAATGTAGAAATGTGTATTTGAGGGGATAAAGTAAGGAACCCGTCCAAAAAGGAACAGGTTTATAGGTTTCCTTTAAAAACTC